GGGGGGGGAGATTTCACGAAAGAGCGTAGTTGCGGGTTCGCAATAAGTACTTTTTCACTACAACGTATCCTTCAACCTTGAACAGCAAGAAGGAAAAATTTGTGGATTCGTGTGTAGAGAAAATTTTAGAAATAATCTTCACTGAGGAGGGAAATGAAATGACAATCAAAAGCATGTGCCCTCAATACATACATATGCCTGCATTATGTCGTTAGGCTTGCTTTACGACTATTTCTGATTTCATCGCATTTTCTACTTGTTGGTGGAGGGCAAAAAGGTGTAAAAATATTGCAAAAAACGACAAGGTTTCTGAATAACCCAGTTTCCTAAAAAAAAAAATCAACCCCACTTACATTTCATGTTGACACTCCTTTACACTGCTCTGTCGATTACCAACAACCTACAATGCCTAGGAACTAATACCATCCGTACACTATACGGAAAAAAAATGATATCAAACAAATCCGCTCTGCCTAAGATAAAGAGACACAGTAAATTTTAATTGAATTTATTTCTAATTTTTACTATTGTGAAAAACTAATGTGAACCCTATATAATCCTACTGCACGTCTTTTTCGGGGCCAAATAACTCTACCCTCGAATGAATTAGCTGAGATTCCAATAAGGAAAATAAAATTTTTCCCCATGCAGGCAAAGTAATAGTTTTGGAAAAAAAGTAACCGAAATACTAATACGCATATGTATATATTATTTGGAAAGGAGCTATACTAAGGGGAGAGGGGGGGGAAACATCGTTTTGGAAAAAGTTCGTCCGCATTAAAGGCAACTTCCTAAGGAACCTGACGGGTAAAGGTGCGCTTGCTATTAGGACAGTCACTCACCCAATGACGCACATTTACAAGGGTAACCTTCAACTCACTCATCGCCTTTTCTCGAAACTCCTCGGGTATCTGCTTTTGAAGCGACTCTACAGCCGCCACACATGCGCACAAATACCGTTCCCTCTCCAGCGCATTCCACACAGCCCGTTGGATGTGAAAACGAACCTTTGCAAGCGCCGTATAATGGCGCTCCGTCACGGACGCCCAATGCAGAACATCTTTCAGGTAGTTCAGTTTTTTCTCAATGTAAAATCTTCCCTTTTTGTGATGCGCATGGTCACCGATTATGAACTTGTAGAAGAAGGATTTTTCCTTGTTGTAGAGGGCGTTAAAAAGCGACTCATGGGACTGGACACGGTCCTGCCAGAACGGATCGAAATCATATCCCCAGCTAACCTGAAGCAACCGCGCGGTGTCGTCCTCGATACAGCTGAGTAGGTAGAGCTCCACCGCGCTCAGCTTCAGCTCTGGCGGGGTTTCCGCCTCCGGGACGTGCCAGAACTCAAAACTGCGATACGTAGATTGTGAGGTGAGGCGTTTCAGCCAGCCCTCCTTCTTTGCCCAATCCTCACAGGCGATTTCACCCCACGTCGTGTAGATCGTCCGCATGGGTGTCAGCGACAGACGGCTCTTGGCCACAACAAGAGCAGCAATCGAAGGCAACCCAACACGACGCATTTGCTTTGGACTATAGTATTCTTAATGGGAAATCGATTACACCCCTCCTTCACTGTATTACAGACGTTTATCGAAGATGCGATAGTACGTTTATAAGCCGCCGGCTTTAATAATTCTGTATGTATGGAAATATATATCGTACAGTAAAACCCTTTATGCAACAAAAATGCATTAAAACAAAGCGGAGAGCAAAGCATGATTTCTCATAATACATGGTGAATTTGATTTGTCACTACCAGGCCTACTACTTTAACTCATCCTCAGAAGGATGAGTCTGTCGCATGGTCAACATAAATGAAAAAACAAAGAGAATCCCCCCATAAAGTGACCTATTGGGGCTTCCCTCCTGCTCAAAATTAATGACCAAAATTTTCGCACATGTGAGCTCTCTTACAGCACGCCTGAGGTGTAGCTCAGTGATCGCAGCAACCCTGATACCTAACAGCAAACAAACACCGCTATATTTTATTTTTCCTTTTTAGTTTCTTTTTGACTACTAATAGGGGCGGTGGTAAGAGTACAGCACCCCCATATTGTGTGCGGCGCCCATGATTGTCTTTTTCACCCGATCGAGCCCCTGCATCCGGGTGAGCTCCACCCCACCGGGCAGTTTGGGGGTGTATAAGTGTTTCGGATGCAACCGCGCCTCCTCCCGCTCCCGCTCTCGCTCGGCTTTCGGATCCGGCACGATCACCTCCATCTCCGGATGCATGCTCAGATCCACCGGATCCACCCGTGGTGTCGGGGGAGTGGTAACCCCTTCCGGGACCTTTTGGTTGAGAAAAGGGCGGAAAGGCATGCGGGTGGCAGGAGGCCGCACGGGCCCACGCGGGAGCGAACTTCGGACGTGTAAATGGCGGAGAATGGACGGCCCGTAACTCCGCTCTATTCTCGCCGCGGCGTGCTCGATCGCGTGGAGGAAAGCCTCCTCCGCGGCGGAGGAGGGCCGTGCCCGATCGTCGTCGTCGCCCGGTGAGCCTTCCCGAAGCCGACGACGACGACGCGCCTCGAAGAGAAGCTGCTCCACCGTCTTCCCGTCAAAGGCCTCGGCGAAGAGGCGATCCGCGTCGGCGCGCACAAACGGCTTCTTCCACGCGGCGGCTCGAGCGCCTCGGTTCGAATGTGCCGACGAGGAGGCGGTCGGCTTGGCATCCGCAGCGGAAGCCCCTCTCGCGTTCGTTGGCGTCGTCAGGGGTTCGGGGTCGATCCCGAGGCTCTTGTCGTGCGCGCGGCGTCTTTCGGGATCGGAGAGCACCTCGTAGGCCTCGGAAACACCGCGGAACTGAACCTCCGCCTGGGCACGCTGGTGGCTCTCCACCACATCCGGGTGGCACTCGAGCGCCCGACGACGATACGCCGCTTTGATCTCCTCCGGCGTCGCACTCGCCTCCACCTGGAGTCGTTTGTAGAGATTCGGCGCCGTCTTGCGGGCGGACGCGGGCGCGGATGCCACCCCACGCGAGCTCATGCATAGAGGAAATACTCTACAACCAGGAATTCTCATCCCCACTACGGATCGATTGAGTAACGAATGCCTATCATTCGGGAATCGAAGTAGGTTTTTGGTGAGAAAACCACGCATGACCTAAATTCGTTAAAAATTGTTTGTTATCCTGTTGTCAATCAAAAGTGATGGTAAGCCCCCGTTTAGAGTCTTGCTCAGCTTCTTTATGCCTCACCTACGTTGTAAACGAAAAAGATAAACAAATAGGTAACAAAAAAACCTCTTCCTCGTTTTCTCCCTCATGTAATGTGACGCTGGAAATACAACACGTCGTTCGAAATATAATCATACTAGTAACAATCAAGCAACATATCCAATAAGGACACACATACACATACACACAAAGATAATAGGAAAAAAAGAAGCTGCTAATAGTCATGTGGATCGTCATGAAAGAACGTATTGTAGTTTCTTACTATGTGTGTAGCTATCTTGCTTCACATTCTCCTTTCTTTTTTGTTTGTGATGCTCACCGAGATTATTCCCATCTTTCAGCAACGATAACCCTTGGCAAGCAAATCAACAACAACTGATTCATCTTAAGAAATCATTTTCATTGCTATTTGGGCGGAAGGGCTGCACATGGAAAAAGGAAGAGTGAAGCAGAGTAAGAGTCATGTGAGATTGCACAAGTTTACAATTCCGCCTTGTTCTGCAACGGGGGGTCGTGTTTCACGCCATCATCACGTGAGAGGGGGGATTGTTGACGGCGCAAACCCATGCGCAGCCAACAGCTCCATTGATGTTCAACCGACCACTCCTGCACCGCGGCGAGAATTTTATCGATTCCAGTTGGTTGTAGTGCTTTGAATCCCATCCGTTCGACATTCTCGGAGAGCGTTTTGGACATCAGTGATGGCCTTGGTTTCTGTGAATGCTTTCCTGACGCCGCACCGTGGGCTTTCGCCCGCATCTTCCCTGATATTGGCATGGTTGTTTGGGAGATGGGGTTCGTTTTGGAGGCATCCACGAGAAGTATGATCGAAAAACGTCGCTTGCGATGAGGTAATTGGTCACTGTTGTGAGCCCGTGGATCGCGGGAGGCATAATACCAACGCAGCAGTTTTTTAACATCACCATACCGTCGATGACGCCATACCCCCACCACCTCGTCTTGGTCGACGTCCGCCTTGAGAAGCGACCCCGGCTTCGCCTGGGTGGGGTGGGAAGAACGCGCTCCTCCCGTTTCGCCACCCACAGTCCCCTCATCAAGTAAGGGCCGCAAGCAAAGCCCCAATGCATCTGGCGCGCCCTCGCGTAGTCGCCGGAGAACCTCCCCCACCCCCTCCGACGTCAAATACGGGCTCTCCGCCGCGAGGGGGTCCTCCCGCCCTCGCGAGGGGCCGATCCGCTCGCCAGCGGCGTCGCCCCCGCTCCCCTCCAACGCGCGCGCATACGCGAAGGCTGCCGAGGTGAAGGCGACGGCCCGCACTGACGAGAGGGGAGGCCCTTTAGGGCCCCCCTCCGCGCGAAGGGCGGGGCCTAAAAAAGGAACGCGTCGCCGCCCCGACGACAGCCTGGTCGTTTCCGTTAAGGGAAGGGGGATTTGGCCCTTTTGGTGCTCGCGATGGAGGGCGAGGAGGGCCTCCTGGAGGGCCTCACGCCCGAGTCGCCCGAGGGAAAGACGGACGGAGGCGGCGAGGGTGGCGAGGTGGAGGGTGCCGCGGAGGAGGCAGGCAGGGGCAGCCTCCAAAGGGGCCTCCAAATCGCCCGAACGCCGAGCACCTTCCACAACCTTTGGGGAAAACAAAGGAAGGGGGCGGAATTCCGCGAGGAGCGCCTCCGCGATGGAACCCCATGAAAGGGGGAGGTCGCCCTCCGAGACGTTCGAGATGCGCGCGACCCGAGGGAGAATCACCACCACCTCCACCGTCGGCATCGCGTTCTCCATGACAAGGCGCAGGCCAGGGTGCGCCTCAACCTGGCCACGGTAGGGGTTGGTGATGTTTGGGTGGCCGTACACCTCCAGCTCGTACGCCTCCCGCGTCATGGTCGAGAGGGAGTGCTGTCGCGGGATGCGTAGACCGAATAGCCCGCCCCCGAGTTTGATCCCAAGGCCCCCTTTCATGTGATTCGAAACATGCCGTCGACCGCTTCGCAGGGTGTACAACGTGGAATGCCGCTTGTAGCGACCTTTACTACCATGGGTGTGACGGACGTGGACGGCACCGGCGCGCTTGGTGCGACCCCGAATAAAGTCTCGTGGGCCCCACCTTCCTAATCGAAGAAAACTTAAACGCAACATGCTTCTTGTCGAGAACAAAGAACAGACGGGAGTGACTCTCTTGCAGATTACAGATGTTCCGAGAGAGAGAAACATAAACACGTACATAAACTTCACCAAGCAGTAAGGTTTCAAAATTGAGTAATTGATACAAAAAAGCCTTGTAGTTCACAAAAATAGAGGCTTTTACAGACTCCCGACCCATTTTTATACTTCGTTGCACACAAAAAAATTCCAAAACGTCTTTAGCTCTCAATATGAGCATATTTTCCCATCTCAATATTTTTGTTGAATAATCTAAGAAACTTATAAATTCAGCAAGCATAACGGAAGAAAAAAAGAAAACAGCAAATGAGTAACTAGAAAATATCCACTAAACAGCATAAATCTTGAAATCATCGTTGTTAAAAATGTTAGATCATTGGGATAAATATGGAATGTCCCTTAGAAAAACGGAATGTTTGTTGAAGCAAATTTTTGCACCTTGAGTTTTTCATCAATAATATATGTTGTTTTTCTTCCTTAAATCATGTGCACTTCGGACGGTGGTGTGGGATTTTTATATAAGGTCGCACCAGGGAACGATCCCTGTGAGGTCATCTCCAACAACTGTTGCTGTAACGCACAACACCCACAAAAAAGGACGGATAAACAATCAGTGCACATATGACCCTTGATACCATAGCGCTCTCGGATACTTCTTCGAAGCATAAAAAGATAAGAGAACGAGAACCATGAGAATGTGAGGTAATCTAAGATAACCACCAAAAAGCACATAGGGATATCTATCTCAGGTTTTAAGTTGTAAAACATATTGTGCTGCCTCACGAGTTGACAATAAAAGCAAAAGCAGGCCTCCAGGCAGGAGTTGGCTTCGAAGCAGCAAGTAAAGAGGTTATAATGCCATGGCCGAAGACCACCACTTGCAGGAGTAATTGATATCAAAGTACCCGATGCTTCATGATCATATATATTCGCATGCGAATCAAGTTGGTCGTATTTGTTCTCGGACATAGTATGGCAATGGAAGGAAAAGGGAAGTTCTGGGCGGACCCTCCTGTAGAACTTGAAAAAAAAAGGTGAAAAGACTGCTTTAAACTGTCTCTTAAAATATTCTTAATTGTTGCTAGATGAATACTTTAGTCCAAAAGATAGGAAAAAGTTAAATTGATAATCCCATGATGTCACCTCAATGTCGAATGAATCACTTCACTCATGACAAACTAAAAGGAAATGTAGTAAACAGCACAGGTATGAACACGCTAAAGGATTACAGAAATAGTATAAAAAAAAGTAGGACTCATTCCATTAGTCCTGCCTTATATTCGACAAAAATTTTAAACAAAAAATATATATAAATATGATAAATATTTACCCTTGCTTTGAATTCACCTCACTCCACCTCTCCCTTATCCATTACTAGGGCGCAGAGTCTCTGGCTTTTCTCGCTGTTCTCAGCCATTCCGATATTTTATTCTCCAGCTCTTTTCTTGCTTCTAAGACGGCTGGTCTTGCATTAAAGGCCTCCACCATCGGTTCATCTAGATACTCCTTTGTAAAGGGATGCTTGTTCTCAGACAGAAGGTGATGGTGAATTGTTTCCTTGTTGACAAATAACAGATCTTGCAAATCTTTAACATCCGATGGGAGTGCGACAGGGTTAAGGAGCGGCGTGGACAGAAGCGCGTCCAGAGCAAAGTCCGGTGCCTCATCCCAAAGAGCCTCCTCATCAACCGCCTCCTTCGAGCAAGACTCGAGCGCCGCTGACATCTCCGACAACTTCCAGTTCAAGTCCTCCGAGACGAGCTGACGCTGCAGGATAGTTTTAATCGCACCTTGCAGATCACTTAAGGGGATCCCGCAGTGGCATAAGCAGTTTAAGAAGTTACGGCTGCGGCGGAAATGAGTAAGGCAGTCTACCAGACGACTTAGGATCTCGCGTGGCTTAAACTGGTACTCGTCGGCATTCTTGATCTTTAGGTTCTTACTGTTGGGTCCTGCGAAGACGACCAGGCTGCGTGCGAGCATTTGGCCAATCTGCTGGGCAACCAGGTTCTGTGTCACGCCGCGAGGAAATTGGATGGAAAGCTGGATAAACATATCGATGGAGGCCATGAAGAGCATGATATGTGATCGAAGACTCATGCCGATTTGGGAATACGTCATGCCCTCCTCAGTCGAGTCCTCTGCCTCATCATTTTCATCCCCCGTATTCTGAATGCTACTGTAATCAGGGCTAGAGGCATCATTGTGGCTGCCGCCCAAGGAGCCATGTGGTGCGTTTGCAGCTTCTTCAGATGCGTCTGTAGAACTCTTCATCATGGTGTTCATCTTAGTAAGACTGTGAATGAGTTGATCAACTGCCTCATTTACCTCAGCGACGGCCATGTGAGAAAATCGCTCTAGGACTGCTCCCTCACGCTGAAACTCATCGCGCAGAGGTTGGCAGAGGTTATCTGAGCCCAGAAACGTCTTAAGACAGTAAGACAGCTCATACCGCACCTGAACCTTTTCGTAAGTCAATTTCTCCACCGCGATATAGCAATTCATGCAGGCGCGCATGATGTGTTCGTGGAACCATGCATGCCCCTCGACCACAGCCCGCGTCTCGGGATTCTCCATCAGCTTTATCAAGAAGGAGGGAAAGAGGGCATGTGTGTGCGGTTTAGTGAAGTAGAGAGTATTCCCCATCAGCACCAGCATAAGCGAGATCATGTTGTCGACAAGCAGGCTATTCAGCATCAGCATCTTGGAGGCACGAAAGACGCAGTCCACGAGCTGCTGAGGCAGGTACTTCCATTGCATTGGGGGAGTTGCCGGAAGGTGCCCGACACTATCGACACCCATCACGCACAGCAGCCAGCCAGCAAGGCCGTTGAGGTAGCGAAGCTGACTTTCACCCAATTTCACGCCCCCAAGGAGGCCCTCATAGAGGCACTTTTCCGCAGTCAAAGCGATGCGCTCCTGATGGGAAAGCTGTGGATGTTGAACGTTACGCTCATTCCGATCGTGCTCATCAGTGAACACCGCTGAGCACAGGGTCAGGGAGCGGGCGGCATAGAAGAAAAGATGAACATATGGTTTGTAACCCCCCTCATCGCTTGAAGCCAACGGGAGCGGGTTTTCGTGCTCGTCGAAGTGAGCCAACCGCTCTGTGTCCGCACCAAAGCTGATCACCTCGCGGATGTTAGGGTTATCAAGCAGATACGACGCTGGAATTGAACTAAAATTCGTCGTCGACTCCCCCTCTGCGCTAGAGATGATGGGAAGTGCCACCTCGATCAGAGCTTTCTCCATTTGAAGCATAAAAAAACGAGAGGAGAGTGGGCTATTCCGGTGCATAATCTTCTGATAATCCTCGTTGAGACGGAGAGCACGATTAAAAAAAATCATCGTCGCATTCCGTGTGCATTTCGTTCGAAAGAAGGTCTGAACCAGTTGAGAATTCCACTTCGCAAGCCTCTCTACGATTTGTTGGATTTCATAAATCTGTTGGGGGTATTTTTCGCTCTCCTGAGGAGGAAATAACTTTATAAGATGTTGCCACATCTGCATGTTGAGTTGAGGAAACATAATGGCATGCCCTCTCGACACCGGGCCAATGCCCAGCAATGCGCCAAGTATCGTCGACTGTTCAAGCTCGAATCCCGTACGAATGAACTCACTGTCAAAAAACGAGCTCCGCACCACTATATCCCGCGCCTGTACGCTTTTGATGAGGGAATGCACCACTCGATGAAGAGCCTCAATGATAGGAGTAGCATCCCATGTAATGTTCAGTGCTAAATCCAAAACATAGCGAAGTACCTGATTTACAATGAGTCCGACGTTATAACACTCAGGTGGGGCTCGCAACGAGATGTATCGAAAAAGCGCATCTAAGGCTTCTGGAGAAGCCGCCGTGGATGCTAAATACGGAATCAGCTTAAGCCCCGACGGAGAGTCCGGCTCATTCTTCATCAACATCCTGTACGCCTCATCACAGGAGTCTTTCTGCAGGATCGCGTCATCCCCACTCTGGGCCAGCTGAATGCAGAGCATCTTTTCCGCGAATTCGTTATGGCACTTTCCCACTCTGAGCATCGGCTCTGACGCGTGAACCACCAGCTGCGCAAGGGCCATATCAATGTTGCGCTGGACTGCGTCCAATTGACCACCTTTTACGATCCCTATTGTCTCCTCGCCAACACAAACCACAAAAGTGGGCATCGCATCAACTTTAAACCGCGCAGTGCAGTCCCCGTTGCGGTCTACATCACATTTACAAAAAACCACCTTCGCCGTGTCGTTGTACTCCACCATTTTCAGATATGATGGCATTACGTACTTACATGGACCACACCAAGTGGCATAGAAGTAAATCACACATACCTTTGAATTATTCCTAAGAAGACTATGAAGGTGACCAAGTCCGGAAATTTCAATCATCGTTTTTTCTCCGCTCGTTGGTACTTCAATCGTTGTATAGTTGCTAAAAAAAAAAAAACGAACCCTTTAGAGAAGATAAAGCGGTGTACAAATGAAAGTAAGAGGAAAACGATATAGAGTTACAAAATAAAGCAGAAAAATTAGTGATTACATATATACGTGATCTCATAAGGATGCATATAATAACACAGCTAAACAAATTATGCCAAATCAACATTCAGCAAAGATTCTGCGGAGGAATAAATGCTACATAACATTGGAAAAGAGTTTGCTTTGATTTAAAAAGACTCATAACAATCAGATAATGAACAATAACCCTCCACCACCACCAAAAAAAAAAAAGACTAACGCAACTCAGTCTAAGGAGTGAAACCAGTGTATTGCTTGAAGTCGAGTGCCGGCCATTGAATGCGTATTCTGTTGCATAGTAATGTTATGTTATAAATGATAACATTATGCTGCTTATTCTTATCCAATGCACATAATAACGGAAGAAGGGAAAATCTCTTATTAAAGAAATAATATCAATAACTAATGAGTAGCCCCTTAGGTTCACCTAACAGCCTTGTAAAAATGACTCCAGCCTGTCCATAACACATTAGTTGTTACTTACAATTTTATCTAGCTTAGACTTTGATTTTTTGGTCTTACGCATAATTAATGCATGTCAAAATTTACAGTTATGAAATGAGAAAATGAATGGAGTCTTCCTCTGAGAGTTCCCTCTATTTCGCAGACCTGTACTGTGGAGGGGGGGGGGGGATAAAGCGGATTAAATAATAATAAGAACATAGGAGTAAAAAAAAATACTATCAGAGCACTAATGTACAATTCTGCATTTATACATAAATTAGGGTAATGGATACACTGTAGCCTCTCAAATCCTTCCATAGGAGATATGTTTCCTTCGCAAGTCCCAAGCATGATACGCTTCTTGAAAGACTGTCAGTAACAAAAGAAATACTAGGGGCCAAAACAATGCTCCATCTTAATTCACCGACACCATCTTTGGGGTATCTTTTCCTAAACTTCATTGAAGTAACCGCAATAAGACGTAACATTAGTGTTAAAAGCTCACAAAAGCAGGCATAAAAAATCTAAGAAACTTTGCTCCCCAAAGCTCTATGATCTCCCCTAGGAGCGCAACCACTTTCATACAAGCGTTTTATTTTATAATAAGCTTGTTGTGGCATTGATGGTTCCGGTAAGCTCTATAAAACTCACATAAGCTCTACACTGACGGATAAAAAAAGTTAGTTTGAGGAATACTCCAGTGGTCAAAATAATAGGACTGCGTTCCCAGAAGTATACTTCTAATTCAAACGACGCAGGAATTGAGATGAAAAGAAAGCAAAAATACGTCAGACAAAGGTAAAAAAATATCTTCCTCCGTCTGATAAGAAAGAAAAAGGAATAGAATGTTAACCCACATCCTGTGATTACAATTTGAATTGCTCTCACGAAGGTCCGCAACATATATGTATGTTTCAGATCCTACGTGAGTAGACCCAGAGAATATCATTGCAATCCTTACTACCGCCTACTCAAGTGTCCTACACCGCAACATCTCCGCCATGGTACTTCTGATGTGCCCCAAACGCTTTCCGATGTCGCACACACCACAGCTTAAAGCTCCATTTTGTGGTGGTAATAAAATCCTATATGTTTGAATGAAGCAAAAAAAATGTGCAAAAAATAGTCTGATATGCACAAAGAGGTATCGAGGATGGCACGTAAGATCTCCCCTCAGAGATTCATTGTCAAAGAAAGGTACTCATATTTTGATAATTTTTGGTGGTCAAGTGATAAAAACCGCACATCTTTCCGATGTAACTGAAATTGAAGGTAATCAAGCAGGCCTGATGAAAAATAAGCAAAGAAAAACTAAGAATGCAAGCGTGTATAGAATCCATATTACGTGTTTCAAATATAGTGGAGGAAAAAACACATGAACGTTTAAGAACCAGCAATTCAAGATTCTAAAATAATTAGCTTGCCTTCCTGTAGCTTAAGCGCTCTGTTAGTTATTATGCACACATTGTTGTGGCTAAAAAATACCCCCTGCCCCTCACATTACCTGCCTGCATGCACAAAAAAATTAATAGTAATAATAATACATCCGGTAAAAAAAGAAGTTAACGCAAAGCATTCAGCATCACCGTATCCTATCGCCACCCCTATTCTCTCCTCAATTCCGGAAGTCCGGGTCCAGCGCCAGAGCGTGGAACCTCATCCCTACGTCGTCAATGACCTCGATACTTTCATCATCCGTATCGATGGAACTGCTTCGACGGAAGCACGCGCTGGATCCTTCAGAACATGAGGTTTGCTTGAAGTCACTGGGAAAGCCAACTATCTCACCACTTGGGAGGCAATCGGAAGTGAGTTTACTGCTCTCTCCCACAACCCCGTCGTTGTTGAATAAAGTGGTTCTGGCCGAGGTCGGGTCACACCGCAACTCATCGTTTTGGTTGTGATCTACCTCATCTACGCCATCCTTGGTGTCTTCCACTATCTTACTTCCTAAATCAATGCCCTGTAGGTAGCGTTCAAAAGGATTTCCTTCAGAAGAGGCATTGTAAATGTACTCAGCATACCGCCTATCATTATAAGGCACTTCTTGGTAGAAGCATTGTAGCGACAGTGACGGATCCGGGTCGAGGACCTCTGAAGTAGCGACATTGTCCAAATCGACAGCTCCATCGCGCATTGAAAATGTGCGCTGCTTAAAGGTCAAGATTTGGTTCTCTACCAGAGACCAGTCAAAATTAGAAAAGAGGGAATGCCTTTTAAGCGCCTCAAGATCAAACTCGTGCGTCTCAGGATGGACCCCAAGCCTCTGGAAAGGGTCGATGTCGACCAATCGCAGAATAAAATCTTTGACGCGCGCAAAGTGATCGGATGGGGCGACCTCTTCTCCTGGACAACTGGCCTCATTACCTCTCCTCCCAAGGTCAACAATTGGGAAGGGCACAGCCGCCTGACCATTTACACCACCTGCGACGCCTTTGATAACATTCTTCATCACCCCAAACGAAGTCATGCCGGCGAACATGTGCACCCCATACAGCATCTCATAGACAATCGTCCCCAAAGACCAAAGGTCGCTGCTAAAGCTCCATCTGCACTCACCTACCATCTCTGGCGATACGTACTGTGCAGTGCCACAAAAGCTGGCGGTTCGCCTGCGCATCGCTTGAATTTCAGAGACCTTGATAGAACGTTTCGGCGGCCTTGACGCCAACCCACCAGAATCACCCTTATTTGTGAAGGAAGTCATGCTGGATCGCTTTGCTGGTAACGCGACACCGTGGTTGGTGTGGGGCTTGGCACGATTACCCTCCAAGTCGACTGTGTCGAAGTCAATAAGACAGGCCCGACACTTGCCATCAAACACAATGTTCTCGGGCTTCAGGTCGCGCATCACCAAACCGTTCTTGAACACGTGTGAGAGGCCAAGAATGATCTGCGCGGTGATGAGCTGGATGTCCTGGAAGTCCAGGCACCGCAGGGCTCGACTAGAGGCGGGGATCCCCCCGGCCGAGCCCCCCGACCGTGGGGGCGGCGGCGCGGCCTGGGTTTGATCCGCTGCTAGGCGGAAGTCGCGTCCTTCGGTCTGCCCTTCCTCCCCGGCGACTGGTCGACCCATCGGACGAGGTTGGGCGATAGAATATTCCCTGAGGCGCTTCTCGGCAGTACGGCGAATATGCTGCAGCAGGTCGCCGTTCGTTAATAACTCCATCACGGCATATAGCTCGTCCTCGGACTGCGCCGTCCCGTACAAGCGGCCGATGTATGGATGCGATCGAAGCCGTAGAAGGGCTTGCTTCTCATTCATGACACTTTGAACTTTGCACAACTGGAGAAGCTGAACCTTGGAGTATACTTTAATCGCAACCGGGATCGACAGCGGGGGAGCGAGGGTTGAGTGGAGAACATTGGAGATCGCCCCCGTCCCAAGGGGGATGGCGCTGGATAAATTCAGTTGATCAGGCGTAAAGTGCACAAAATTGGACATGTCCTATGGGGAAAGGGCATTCAAATTTTAGCACTACAGTCGTCAAATGGGACAGAGTTTGAGAAATTGGCCTATTTACCTTCACCCTTGTTGTGGTTCACTTGATTTGATGGGTTTCTATTGGTAAGCCCGTGCGCGCTTATTAAAAAAGGAAGCACGTACGAAATAACTATATTACACACGTAGGAATGGCAATGTCGCAGAGGTGGAGAAGAAATTAGTTGAATCATTGTCCTTATTCGGGTATCACTTCACACAGCTCAACGATGCATAAAGTAGTATCATTAAAAGGCTATTCTTCTGTGGCTTGCTGGAAATACACTTTAGAAGCGAAGGCCGATTAGCGCATCAAAACAAGAACTAAAAGAAGACGGTGTGCAGCTACACTTTATTCAATCACCGCATTCAGAATAAAAATACTAGAAAAAGAGCCATCTTTTATACTTGCTAGGTTTGCCAGTTCAGTTTGGATCCTCTCTGTAGGTTCTATCGTTTTCATTCTGTGCATGTATATACACCAACTTCATGTTTCGTTATCCTGTAAAAGAAAAAGGCTCCAAACACGTCCGTAACTCCTCTATAGAAGCAAAAATACGTTGACAATGTGCTTCATTACTGCCGCTACATGTCATAAAATTGCAATATTGATACGCAAAGCGAAGAATTTCAGATCGGCTCCGCACCAGCAACTCGCACACCTCATCTGAAACAGACAGCCTTTGGGCAAAGGCCTTTATAATGGTGAAGATTAACTCACTACTGAGCATAGACTTCTCATTCGCAGTGCTCAGGACTGCACTCAACAGCTCCGCAGAAGAAAGGTATAGTCCTCGCACAGTCGTGTATTTAGGGTCTAAAATAACGTCCTCGACGAAGCGGAGAGCCTCCTGCCGCGCCAGGTAGCTCCGGCAGCGCATTGCTGAGCATAATAGGCTTCCTAGGTTCGGAAAAGAGTACTGCAGCAGCTCTACTGAAAAACAGCGCTGCTGTGCAAAACCCCCAGGGAGCCCTACACTGGACATCGATAGCGCTACATCTTGCGTTGGGACCCCAGTGTCGCTTGTATCAATGCTCACACCAACAGGGGCGCGGGTGCTGGGAGAGATACCAGGCAGAAAAACAGCCCGCAACGTCTTCCACGACTCCGCGCACAGCAAAAAATCTGAGCTGACAAGGCCGGATCGGAGCCGTGAAATAAAAGAGATCCCATCCCTCGATGGCCCTGGAGGCGATGCACCCCCCTCAGAGGGGTCGCCCCAGGAGCAATCACGACTCGGATCGCTTCCCTGAGAAAGCGAAGTCGAAACCATCAAAGCCTTGCGAAGGCACCAACCCTGCACCATAAGACGCACTGTTTTGCACCCCAGTAGCGTGCGCAAAAGCTGACCAGGAAAGCTACAGCCACCCACCACGCTCTGTTGTGCATACAGAAGCACTTGTACCGCATGTAGTAATTTTTTAGAGTTGTTTGACTCCTTTCCATCACGCTTTTCGCCAGATATATCACTCTGTCTGCTGTTGGTGGTGGTAAGGTGGCTATGCAAGCTGTGTTCTACACTTCTGTCAGACAATTGGTGATGACTACTATCACCTTGATCCTCCTCTTTATTATATGTCGAGAAATCAGTGTTAAAAATCAAATGTACCACCTCCGCATCGGTAGCGCCCAACCGTGTAAACACAATAAACGAAAAAAGTATATTGACGTAATCACATACATTCCACCAATCTGGATCACCGCTCTTGTCAGCTACCAGTAAGATGAAGTCATAAATTCCATTCAGGTGGCACCGATGGAGTAACTCACTCTCGAGTCCCGTGAATATCAAATGATGGCTGTCGACTCGGGCCTCTCCTCGCTCCTCGACCTCAGGCATTTTGTCATTAAATCGGGACGACGATGCATGACTATAGCGAGAAATGAGCTCCTCGAGCAAGTCCTCGCATGCCTTGACTACTTCCTTTCGAGTCATCTCTGGACGTGGAGAAGGATAAACTGTTTTTGTGTTTGGGGTAATAAAAGTAAAAAAGGGGGAAGGTGTTTATTTTACTCATAAACCACGTGATCTTGACAGAATTTAAAAAAAAACTAAACAAGAAGGAAAAATAATTCCAAAACTACGTATAACCCCAAAACAAAGGTATAATGGAAGCTTGGAAATGAATGCAAAAAGAATCTCTTGCCCTAACTATGCGTTTTCCTCTGTTGTTATTGCTGGAGCCTCTGCTGCAACTCACTGAACCCCCACTGTGACAAACAAAGAACGGTCCGACGATGTCATATACGTCTCTAAAAACTTAGCTGGAGTTCTCAAAGAAGGAGTAATGCCTTGGATCTTAAAAAACAGCCGCTGCGGCGCCTCCCCCCGATTCCCTTCTTCGCCTTTCTCGGCTACTACAGGAATACCAAAGATAGACCAAGCTCCTATCGACTTCACAACGTGGTCATCACACTTCTCTTCGTACGTTTCAATAAATTTTTGCAACATAGCCGCCTCCCACACAACCCATGATTCGGATTTTAGTGCAGATTCACAAGGCAACTGGTGCACGTCCAAGTTCATTGAGGCAGACGCTGGGGGGTCGGTGTAAAATACAGCCATCGACCTGAGAAGCACATTTTCGCTTACACCAACGCCGTCTGAGGCCGCAGCCGCCTTCGCTAAGACCGATGCAGTGGCAGAACACGCAAGGGAAGACGAAGGCAATGGAAAAAGCTGCCTCCATCGCAAGCAAGGGGTGCAAAATAGCCTCCAGAGAAGCAAACCGAACGTGAGTGATTTTTCGTCTGCGTCGACGAAGACGTCAGAGTCGTTGAAAGGCTCACACGCCGACTTGGCCTGCTCTGCTAAATGTTGCTCCCGTATGTCTAAGCTCTCTCGGGCGATCGCGCTTTCCTCGGAACTGGGGGGAATGACCCCCCGACACCCTACGCTCCGCTCTACTGATAGTATAGCATCCACGGGGTAGTAATGAAATCTAAGAACGGGCTCACATTTCCCACCGCGATGCGACCAAGGAAAGCTGAGTTGCACGATGTATGCCAATCGCCGGGCTCGTGAGACACTCTTCAACATGTGATGGTACTCGGCAAGCACGTAGGGTGAAGTGAAAGCAGGAAAAGTCCGTGACCCTGTTAAGGAAGAGTCAGGAAAGTCGGAACTTAAGGACGATTCAAAGGGTCGGTAAAGCGCCATACCGATCGCCGCCTGTAGAACTGACTCGGGTGAATTAAGGTAACTCTTGTAGGAGCCGTAAATGGCACAGTACGCCATCTTGTGTAGCTGCTTAATTTCGTTGCGGATGTACTCATCCAGACGGTCAAAGTTCACCAGAAAGGGAGCACAGCGCTCAATAGTTTTGAAGCCAGAAGGCTGATAAATGCGAAAACTAAGCTCTAGTGGCTCAGAAGAGAAGAAAAAAGCCAACGGCCCACGGCTATTGCCACCTGCCACGTCAGCGCCTCCATCACCATCCTGTTCCCTATGTGTGTGAGGGTTAAGAAAGATAGAATCGGTGCCTCGGCCTTGGTCGATTCGTCCACTCCGTCGCCTGATGTCGTGTAGTTCCTGCACAAAGTCCCGCACCGCGCCTACGGGGTACCCCCACGGCACCACCATACTCTCATAAGAAAACCATACCTGTGTCGTGTACTGGTTAAGAACCGCTGCATAGGGCGAAAAAAACTCCAACACGTCGCGTAGGATCGCGATAAGCAAGGTGGTTCGTGGCAGCACAAAGGCTAAAGGTGGGGGTCGGCGCGCTAGACTAAGAATGTCCTTTTCATTCAAATGAACAATGACAGGAATGCCGCCTATATAATTCTTGGGGTCGAGCATATTGATTGCAATGGTATGGATAAATAGACAAACAGATGGTAAACGTTGTATGAAAAATAATCAAAAAAGCTCGGTATGCGCCTTTCCTATCTGATAACGCTTCTTGATGTCGTTTTATGTGAACCGTGACACCAAAAATCAGTTAACCAAGGCGTGGGAAGAGTTCACAGAATGACGATAATAAACCTCCCAATAAAGTCTTGTCGATAGATCGATATTATATTAGACATGCGTGATCGCGCTTCTCACATTTAATAAGTGGACTGTTGGTTTCCATTTAAAGACCTTTTTAATCATATATTATTTAAATTTTTGGGTAGAAAAGGCACCATAACAGACGCACACACCCACTCAACAGAAGAAAAAATAGGTCGTAATCTGTCACCGAGTAGTAGTAGATGTCAAAAGTGGAAAAAGACATCCCATTAAGTAATCCGGTGGCATGGCTTTAATCACCAGTGTTGTATACGATTTTCCGACTCACATTTAAAATTTAGCTTCATAATTTGTCCTCATTTTTTTTGAAGCGAATTAAAGAACTCTTTCTAACATTTTTAACTTCCACTTAAAGTAAGAGAGTCAAAAGACGATGCCAAGATTGCACCTGTTCACCCTATTTCGAGAGGGGACATTCCTTTTTGCATAGCTAATATCAACACACACACCCCATCCCATTAAGTCCTGAGAATTGAAATACAGAGTGAATGCAATAATTAGGTGTAGCCTGGCAGGGTCCACATGTTACAGCTACATCACAAAGTAAGAGGGTTTCAAGAATGGCATTTCGTATCGAAAATTGGATTGCAGTTAACCAAAATCATGCAAGCAATAACTGATATGGGGACCTAAAAAGCATGTGCATCATTGACAGATGTGATGCTTGCATACGCTGGTGGAGCTACGCACAACAACGGTTAAAAGAAAGAAAAATGGAAAGGTATTTTTCCTCTTATATAAGTAGTGTTAAAAATATTTTGTTTTCCCTACTATTGTTTGCATAATGCATAGTATAACTTGTGCGCTTTCGCTTCAGAAGCTAAGAAACAAACATGTTGATAGAGCTCAACCACCTTTCGTACTCCTGCTGCTCGCTCCAAAAACTGTAAAGTATGATGAACTCGCCCAACTCTTCATTTACACCGCGCTTATCAAAGTAGCTTATAAAGCTGTCCACAAGCGCGCCGTCTAGTTCACTCAGCTTTGGACCCGGGTACAGCTGATTACGCTTCATATCTGCTTCAGCACTCTCATCTTCGGCCAGCTTTGCATCTGGAAAATAGCAAATGTTTTCCAAGACCAGCTCCCCCTCCTCAAAGCTAAGATCCGCCTGCAACGCCTGTCCATTACGAGTGACCTGGACCATGATTTGGTGACTGTTGGTGTCACCCATGTTCTCCTTAGGGTAATAGTACACCAACAGCGTTTCATCCTCGTAGTTTTTAGAAAGCCGGAAGTTGCGATTTCCAGGAACGTGCTCAACACGCCATCCCGCTGGGGGCTTTGGCTCCTCGGGTTTGCCACTACGGCTTAGCTCTTCCTCCAGCTCGCGTCGCGTAGCATCTGCCAACGCCGCATCATGGGCAAAACGTTGTTGAGTCGAGATGAAATTTGAAAATGAGCCTGTTCTTGTGAAAGGTAGCACTGCAGCTGTTGTAGGGACACGCGCTACAGCAAGCGCCTGGGTGCCACGGCGGACACTTCGAAATGCCATGAGGCTCAATGAGTTAACAGTGCGGCGCATGGAATAGTAAAATATTATATTTAAGTTATGCTTTTTCGTATAAGAATAATAAACGACTCACGATAGGTCAATCAAGAAAAAAGTTCAAGAATGTTTGTAGATTGAAATAGCTGCATCAAATGTGTCGTTGTCGAAGAAAAGAACAGGATGAAAAGAAAAAAAAAGCTTATAAGCAGAACTTGAGGTAAGCTATCAATTGTCAGTCAATCATAATAAAACCTATAGGTTTTTTCAACAACAACAGCATTGTATTTTTTCCAGTCCAATTTAAGACTCGCTCACACGCATCGACACTCACAACATGCACAGAATGTGATCCTCTGAATGTATCTTCAAATATCTTAATAAAAGGGAATCTAATGGCGTGCACATACCATTCTCGAGTGTTCAATTACGATTTACTACCCTGTGCTGCAATCTTACTCACACGTACCCTTGACCGCGCAAGCTGTTCCTCCAACGACGATGATAACTCAAGCGTATCCAGCCATTGAATATAGTAGGGGTGCTCACGGCAATCCTTCTCCAACGCACATAAGTACCACGGAGGCTTAGGATGAACCTTGCCGGTCATAAAGGATTGCTTAAAGGAAACGTCAAGCTCATCAAAATTGACTAGTTTTGATTCTGACTCGAGCCCCTTATTGCAAATTCTGGGCGCATCTTCAACCTCTCTGTTACCGTTTGAGCGTGGGGTCCCCGCAGCGGGTTCTACCTCGCCACCCCTTTTTCGCGTCAAAATCAACTCGGGAGCCTTCTGCAAGGCGTTCAGGTCCGTCACCACGAAAAAAGGGGTCTCAAATTGAACATTATTCCAGTCGGTGGTAATGGTCGGGGTGACAGCTGACGTAGGAGATGCGCCAACGCTGGTTTTCAAGTTCCCTGTCGCAGGGGTCACCGCGGAGTCTATTCGAGAGGGTGTGTTATGGCCCATCGACAACGTTGGTGTTCGCACCCTTCCACCGCGTAGCCACTGCGCGTAGGCCTGCTCATCCTCTATCATAGGGGGAGGGAGGTTGGCTGCTTCGCCGGGCGTAGTCGTCTCGACTGGTGCACGCGTTGATTCCTTCAAAGTACCATCCAAGGCATAAACGGGAAGCGGCGACAAGGGCTCTCTCGGTGCTGCCGATGAAGAGATGCCCATTTGCAGGGCGCTGGAGCTAGGCGCGACAGTGGTTGAGGGGGGTAGAGCAAGCGGATACGGTGCCTTTGGCGCCAACACCTGCGCCTGCTTGCCAGTCGCAATATCGGGAACGACAGGGGGCTGCATTTTTGGTGCTTCCTCACGTAGGAAGTGGTTAATATTATCCAAACGCCGCGTAGAGCCCGTATTTTCGCTACGACGGGTGCGGTGGCGCCGAGATCTGCGGCGCTGGCGGTCCTTCAAATCTGGTGTTCCTGGAATCAATGACGACGACGAAGACGACTTAGAGGAACCGTCTGACCACGACCGTGAGCGGTAACGACGACCATGCATGCGACGAGAATTGCTACTACCTCGTCGCACGTCATCATTCGATTCAGATCTTGATGAAGACGAACTACGGTATCTCTTCCGGTGACTTCTTGCTCTACTATAGCGTGTTCGTCCGCGGCGTCGCCTCGGTTCACGATGCGATCCGTGTGATGCCCATGATCTTGAAGAATATTCACTACCACTATTATAACTCACAGCCTCACTGTTTTCCGAGTTGCTTCTACAGCTACATCCTGAGCTAGAACTATGGTAGGAACGGAGTGCAGGGGAATAATGCTTATTCCGTCGTTTGGTTCGTCTATATTGCTTATCAGGAGGCATTCTCACGTTGACCTAGCATAACTAAGACTCACCTCTATAGTTGTACTGTTCCCTTTTGTAATATACTTACCTCTTTATTTATGGTACCACCCTGGGATAAATGTTACACTTTCAATTTTTTACTAGTACCCCTGTAGCATATGTTTTTGTGTTTAATGTTGATGACTAAGGATTTGGCGTGCTTGATTAAAGGTGAAAGGATTTATAAAAGTGATATGGAGGTAAATCTAACTGCTTTAGCGTGTTATGTCTTGCGGCGAAATGATGATTGAATATAATTGACATTTCTAATGCATTCAAGTGATGATAATCATAGAGTTGTTACCATTAACAGTACTTTAAACAAATATAAATAATGTCCAATTATGAGTTTTTATTATACACATCAAAGATCGAATAACAACAGAAAAAGTTAGGCAATTCAATAGCATCACACTAAGTATCATTTATCTCTTCCAAAAAATTCATGTATAATATATTCTCTCACTACAAACTAATATGAGAGGCAGAATTCATATTTACCACAACCAAATTTACAAGCAATAACCCTCTTCCTATATTTCATAAGAGATGGTAGAAGACACATAAAAAGGACAAACTACGCACACCCTTTGGTTTTTTAAAGAAGTAATGAATAATTTTTGACAGATAATGTTGGGCAGAACCTGAATAAAGCCAATAAAATGACGAATCATAAATGTGAAGTATAAATTAAAAAAATGTACGGCAGCGATAAAGTTGCGTACAAGTGTAACACATTCTAGATCGAAATCCAAGATAGTATAGTACGAAAAGTTCATATACATATACGTATATGCTTATGTGCATGCGACATATTCTGTAGGGACTTATCAGCCTGAAGAAGCAAAAAGAAGAAAGGACAAGACTGGCAAAATTAATGTAACCTGCCCAGGCCTTAAACAAGTGCTTAAAATTTAGAGGGTTACTATGTAATCCCTCAATATGCTCAACTTCGGTCTATAGACATGGATCCCATTTAAAGCATCGGCTGACGCCATTATCCAAGCGTCCCTTTCTTCTGGGCACCACGACAGGTCTGTAACAGGCCCTAGATGCCCAATATGAACAAAAGCCACCTCCGGTGGCGCCATATCATTCTCTGAGTAGCCCGGTGGCAGGTGGCTTTTGTCGAGATCCCAGATGACCACCTGACCGCTCTCGCTGAAGCTCCCTAAGATGGTCTTACTGAAAGGCGACCACTGAAGGCCTGTGACGCACTGGTTGTGGTAGTGAATCGTCATAAATGGTTCCTTGGGCCAGCGAGTGTCCCAGAAGCTAACTTCCCCCCTGACACCGGCTGTCACAAGCTGGAAGACCCCGGTCGGGTGAAACTGGGCAGCGGTCGCGCCTCCCTTGTGAGCCTCTATCAGCGTTGTCGGGCGGGCGTTGAAGCGCGTGTCCCAGAACCGCACATCGCCGTCCAGGCTGGAGGACACCAGCAGGTGGTCCTCCGACGCGTGCCACGACACATCCGTCACAACGTCCCGGTGGCCTACAAAGCGGCCAATCGGCCATGCATCGCTCCCTGTGGCATCCGGCAACACGCTTAGCTCCCGCGCCTCACAGTCTACGGTGGTGCAGTCGATGGCATGTCGTATATCCCAATAGTTTACATAGCAGTCGTCGCCACCACTTGCAATGATTCCCGCCCTTACAGGGTTCCATGCAAGCCCAAAGCCACCAGAACGGTGACCACGTAGAACGATTTTCAGGAGAGCGTGCTCCCGCCCACACATGTTCTCGTCTTGAGCCAGGTTGTACACGCCGATAAATCCACTACCCGCCTTAACCGCAACTAAATGCGTATTGATCGAGCCTGCCCGTATCTTTAACACTGGAGAATCCACTGTGATGACGTGTTGAAAGCAACAATGTCCACGCACATGCTGGAATTGGTTTCCTGGATCAGTAGCGGGCCTCATGCCGGCACTACTAATGCTGTAGCCCCCATCGTCCGTATTCTGCACGCTAGGCAAAGCTACCTCCATCAGCTGAACCTGATTAGGCTTTCCTTTAGAAGCCTGCATCCCGACAGCTAGATATTTCAATGTGTAGTCACAACTTGGATCACTGATTGTTAACGCGGGTATCCATTCTAGCGTTAACAATGGCCATTCCGAGACGTATAACGAGCAGAAGTCATAGAGTACATTCATGTTTTCCTCGAAGCATCGTTGGAGACGCAGCATACGAGCCAATGTATGTGTTTTAGCATCGTTAACAGCAGTCAAGTTGGTCTCAGTATTGATACTGCGACTTTTGATTTGTGATGAAGGAATTTCGAGTTCTCCTTCCCTATCGTTTCGGTTAGAGTCCATGTTGCAAATACCAGAAACTTTTTTTTTAAATTCAGTTTATCAGCATTTGCAACTAAAGATGATGATTTGTGAGTCACGTTCTTGTGATTAGACACGAGAGAGTTCTGTGTCAAATCACAATACGCCAAAGCGCATGTTTTGGAAGGGGCTGCAATGTCACCAGCTTTGTCCCCTGAAGCATTTGTGCAGGAATCGCATATACATGTCTCGGTGTGCATCTCTGTCGTCTTGTGGGCATGTCGCAACTTGAAGGATGAGTAAGTTTCATTATCGGCAGACTCTCCACCTGAAACTGTCCATGGTAGCGCAACAGCAAGTCCCTTATTAACGACTTTCTCATTCAATAAGCTTAAATCGTTCTGCTCAGCTTCATATTGGCGAAAGTCCTCACGCATTGGATATGACAGTTGCACAACCCTTGGGTGTTAGGCTTGCATCAAAAAACACCAACACAAATACCCAGAGTAATGCAACTCTGTTTGCTACTTGACCGGACGGTAAGTAATCCAACGCTTACTCTCTGTAAGACACACCTTTGAAATGCAATTTAGGATTCTATAATAATAATAATATTGATGTTCTTTATTATCCAGAACCTATTTATATTAACCCTATTCAGAAGTGTGTGCATAAACCTCCAAATATTAGAAGTTCTACCATAAATAAGTGATAACAAAGCAAACCAAAATTGTCGCAAAACGAGAAAAAAAAGAATACGATGAAAGGTTTTGATGTCGAAAAAAGGAAAATTAAAATAACGATAACACATTTAAAAAATATATATGCGCTCGACACTATCATAATAACGAAGGGAAACATTTTCAGCACACACAGACCGATGAATTATTGTCCCATAAAGCAAGGAAAGAAATCAAGTCCAAGGGCAACGGAGCAACTCTATTGACTAAATATTGTAAAGCATGTCCGTACATGTGGAAAAGTGTGAACCTTTTATTAATACTTTACGCATCATGCTCTTCGTACCCAACACGTTTGCCACCAGTATCCTGTTCTAGGCAATATGCACTTATTACACGTATGCCAACTGGCTGCTCTGTTATCACATCACTCCACGTGGGAGAGAAAACAAGCATAAAATGAGTCAGACAATTCATAACTGATCAAGGGGACCCTAGCCTTCACGAGGCCCACGACGACGCACCGCTAACGATGATGCCCGAGTATGGCTTGTTTCCTTGTTGATAACACGGTTTGAGGATCCTTGGGCAGGACGTCGATGCGGTGTCGCCGTCGTGCTATGGAAGCGGCGCGTGGCCGGTTTGGTTTCCTCAGTTGTGCCCCTTGCTCCCACGTCCTGTGGTGTTTCAAGACGGGTCCGAAGATTCCCCCCACCATCACCGCCTGGGATCGGAACAGAGAAACCAACCGTGGAGGTAACGACCGGGCTGCCAACGCCTGAGTCGCGATTAGCGCTGCGGTGGAAAGAAAAGTACCGACTGAAGTCGATTCGAACCCATAGGGCACGCTCCGCATGCCGGCTAGAAACGCTGAGGTGACTGACAAAGGACGCCAAAACCTTCTGCCGCACTCGCGTTTCCAGAGCTGTCAGCGCCGCTGCAACTTCGATTGGGGTTTGGTTAACCCCATCTACAGCCCAATAGTTGAGACGATAACGCACACATATCATGTAAAGCGTGACAGCGCATTCTTCCAGGGCTCGGCACGTTGTCAGAACCCTTTCAGAGCCCTCTGTAAGGAAGGAATTTTCCGCTATATTCCATATAAAACGATCATGGCAGTGCTTAGCCTCCTGTAGACTAGTGCAGCGCTCAATATTCTGGCGAAGCTCGTGCGTGTACAGGAGGACGACGTCAATTTGAAAGTAATTTGCGACAGCTGTCTGCAGAAAGTGGAGCATCTGAAAAAGAGCGTAGGCGCGGCGCAAGTCAGTGGATGGCTTCGGGTTGGTTGTGATGGCATCCGAAAATAGTTGACGCAGTATGCTCAAGGAATGCAGTGCAAAGCGCATCGACATATGCAGTGAGAAGAGTCGTTGATAATATTCAAGGGCCTTTTGCGACACCACAAGTTGAAGCCCTTGAGGAGTCGTGTAGACGATACAAAGATCACGAACAAGACTCAAAATCGACCCCGCGACGTCTTCAACCGCCATACAGCTTGATGTTCCGTCCATCATCACGGTTTTGGTATCTAACTGTGACGCTCCCTGCGGCAAGCTTACAGAAAAACACTCGTACGTCGATAGCTCAGCTAGACCCGACACACTAAGCCCGTACGCGAAGGCCTCCCCCACAGCCCGGCGCAGGTTTGCATGCGATGACGTGTGAATCCGCTTCGAGCCCGCGTGCTCGTGTGGATTATGCAGCACTTCGCTCCTATTCGAGCAGATAACATTGAAAGTGCACTCGACAAATGCGTGCCACAAGTCGCCGCGGGCGCACATAAAGACCACCTGAAGTGCTTCAAGATACTCTGCTAACGGCGCAGTACGGGACACCCTTTCCCAAAGGGCTTTTGTCCAGAGAGCCCTAGCAGACTCCACCCGTGCGGCCATTTCATCTACTGCCAGCAGGCCACCTTCGCATAAAGAAGGGGCAAAGATAGTCTGGAAAACAGATTCAGCAGCCCCATCAAGCGCACCTATCGCAAGCTGCTCTAGATAATCACCTTCGTTGGCTTCCACCTCGTTCAGAAGCACGCGGCGTGCCTTCCCAGCAGCGAGTATGGACAAGCCAAGGTTAACAGAGAGACCAGGCGGCAGGAGGTCTTGGTGAAGTGTGTGTGCCTCGGCGGAGCATTTCTTACCTCCAGAAAGAGACGAAGTTGCTGAAGAAACAGAAATGAAGTAGTCAGAACGTCCGTACAGCACCACACCGTGAGCTACATAGTGTGCTGTAGTGTACAACACGGCCTGCCATATATGTTCCCCTAGAATTTGTCGAAATGATGGAGGTAATTCCATGTTTGATAAAAAATCGCCGATTCCCGCGAGGTACTCGATGGTCAATAACGACGATGACGATGGCCCTGATTTGGGTGCTTTTTGCTGCGTTATTTTCTCGAGCAGGTTAAACGTTAAGGAATAGGTAGAGCTCAGTAAAGCCAGTTCAGAGGGAGTTTTCGCACATTTTACATCCTCCACATAACAGGATAGAATCTTTTCTAAAGCGGCACCCACAGCAGATGCATAAAGGCCCTCTGTTCTACCCAAGCTTGTGTCTCTTGCTATTGCAGAAAGTAGGGCATATTGCCGCCCAAGTGGTAGTAAGCCTTCCAATAGCAACAGCTCGGTCGGGTGAAGGCTGGAGCGTATGGACGGAGTGAGTGATAGAATAGAAGCGTCATTAGCACCATATCCGTTAACGCTAGCATCGTCCATGGAGTTAATAGTATGCCCAGACGATATGAGAGGAGAACTTGCAAGCAACGCGCAGGAGTCGAGTCCCAGAAGAACGCATTGAATCTCCTCCATTACACAATTGTGATCAGATTGAGACCAAGAATAAGAGAAAACGAGCTATAGGTTCACACTAACGGTATGTTAATATTCACGAGATTGGGGCTCTATTTTAATTTCTATATTTGATTAAAAGAGGGTTGAATTCCATACGAAACTCCCAAATAATCTATAGAACGAAAGAAGAAAATAGTAATAGCCGTTTCATATATTTTTCTAAACACAAAGGAGATATTCAAAGTAGTCGGAAAAATGGGTGATAATAAAAAAAAAATGCGAATAGCAAGAGATGCTGCGCAAAAATAATATTAAAAGAATTTATGTAGCAGAAAAATCTGTGTGAAAAGATAAAAAAACATTACGTTAAAAAAGGAAGTAAATTACAAAGGGTCTACATATACACAGTAATAAAAAGAATTCTCTCCATAAGTACTCTCTCCCCTAGAGAAATAAATATTAGCCATCGGTATAGATGCCATATCATTATTAGCAGAAGCGCTTGAAAAAAAAACGGTATACTCCCCCTACAAGATATTAACAGCATCAAACCAACTTTGTATTTCACCGCATATCTTTCGCAGCTGGCTAGCGACGTCTCGGTTGACATCCTGCACTTCATTGCTCCTTGCTGTACTCTGGTCGTCTGGAAGCGAGCTTAAAGACGGGCGAAGGGTAATGAAACTGAGGGCCCAGTTGAATGTAATGGCGTCACAGTGGATGGCGAGCCCAAAACCCAACAGTGGATTAAACATCATGTGCCGTCTGAGAGTCATCAATGTCTTTGAGTCTGCAGTACCCCGGCTGGAGTCGATGTTGGCACCTGAACAACGCTGTGTTGGATATTCATCCTGCAGACTGGCAGCAATGGGAGGATCTGAATGTCGGATAGCATTCTTTGTCTCGTCGCCATCCGCTATATCGAGGAAAGTAGGCAACAAGAGAAACGCTATGGCGCGGTTCACCAGGCGTTGCATCGCGTACTGATAATGCTGACGCAACTCCACCGCAGCCGCACTGTCGACGTGGTGGCAGAAACAATTCAGGGCGTACTGCCCCTTCAGTCGCACACCGTAATAATAATGCTGAACCATCTCCACCGCAACGCGCCACCATAACGGTGGCGCACCTACACAACATTTAAGATTCGCGAAGACGTACTCTTCCATTTCGTGAATCTCGTCGACAGGGGAACGAGAGAAAGAGGTGATCATGGCGTGTGAACAAAAGCAGCGAAAGTCAGTGAAGGAGTTGAGGACACCTTGATCACTCGCAACCTCGGACATCATGGGTAAGTCCGATTCCTGCTGCTCCCTCGAGCGCGAAGAGGATGACGTGGGGCCCGGAGCATGAGGGCCTTCGGAAAGAACGAAGGCAAATGCGTCGGCCTCCATGTCCAACTGCTTCCAGGCGAGTAAAGCACAAGCTATCACGACCACGCGTCGCTCCCGAAGAGTGAAAAAGCTCCGATAAGCTTCCTGCGGATGTAATTCTAATGGTTGACTGGAAGCTTGCTGCAAGCCCCTTGGGCCGAGTGAATGAGGAACATAGCGTGACTGGATAGATTGCACAAAGTTAGCGAGTATTTGTACAGTTAACACAGGTAGAGAAACTATCTGGAGACTAGCAGCACGATGGGACTCTTGGAACACAGCAGAACCCACCCCCTCATTCCCGTCTTGCGGATGTAAAAACTCCTCCGCCTTCCACTTCGCATAAGGGTCCTCCGAAGGGTTATGTATCTTATAGTACGTGGAATGGAACTGGAACGCCATACGGTCAGCTATCGTCCCTCCACGGACGCATCCACATGGGCACGGAAGCATGCCACTCGAGGCTCGGCTGTGAGTGGGCTTGCTAGTCTTTGCACCCACAGTTCTCCCTATGTACCACTTCTGAAAACCCTCCGACGGCAGTGAGGATTCTAACAAGAACTCCTCCGGCGACACACGCCGAAGCAACCCAAGATGCTGCACGAGGCCGTGGGCAAAACTGAGGCCGTAGGCCGCATCGCTTGGGTGATTCCGAAGAAGATTCCAAAGGGCACTGCTCTGCTCGAAGTGCCCGCACATGCGCCTTACGTCGTTGAGATGCCAAGACTGGTATCCACCTGGGTGGGAAACATCAGTCGCCACTTCGGAGACGTCGCTGTATCCCAATGGTGCAAGACAGTGAAGGCGCATAAAGTGTCGCCAGGTTATTCGTGCTTGGTCTGCAGCATCCTCCTCACTGGCCTCTCTGGCTGACGAAGGGAGAGGAGGAGAAGTGTCCGAGATGGCTGGCATCGTTGACCCTGCTAATACGCTCGCACCAGTGGAGCACTGAGCCGCTGCTGGCTCTCGCACTACGATTGCTGGTAGGATCCCTGAAGCAGCAGAATGTGACAGTGGGTCGCTTGACGCGAGGGCGGTCCCATAGCAAAGTAACAGCTGCTGGAGACAAGGTGGAAGCCTGGTGTTAACAAAAGGGTCCGCGCAAGACCAAGAAGTCTTAAAAGCATCAGGGTGAGGGGACTCATCCATCACGTCCTCATTGAATTCACGTCGTCAAAGGCACAGAGGTGATCTATATCGACAGCTTGGACACTAGTAGAGAAAAAAAAGAAAAAGTAAAATTATTACGCACACACCCGTCCAAACATGCATAGTGCTAACCCATTTTGACCCCTATGCGTTGTCAATGTAATTTTAAAAATAGCAGTAATAGTAGCAAAACACGATATTTATCACTAAAACCCTTGGAATTCGCTTTGTTGAAGAGGACTAGCAAAGGGCTATAATAGAATCATGAGTGCTACTCCTGGTGGAACTGCTTCCGCTTTGATTGCCCGTCCTGCATAATACGACCATCGAAGAGACCAGTAGCCACTTTGAACGCCAGGCAACCGGCAGGATCACCTATTTCCTTAAAAATTGTAGTCAATTCATGGTCCATTAGGTAGGTGTACGTGGTATGCTCCTGCATCTTGATAGTGAGATGTGCCGCTGCTTCCCAATCCAAACGATGGAGAAGGCAGCGCATGAGCAACATGTACATTTGCGCATTACGCAGATACCAAAGGTCTCGGCCCATGACGTCAGAGTTCATAAGAACGCTCCACAGCTCAGCAAAGAGGTCATCCGTGGTCGACGATGAATCAGATGCATCATGAGCCGTGGAAACAGCATCTTTTCCTTCATGGCTCATCTCTATCGGACCGATCTTCAAGGCAACGTGAGGGTAAGGGTTGTACACGTGGGGGTCGTAAAGGTGTGGAGGCACGAGATGCGGTGAGCAACGGATGTGCGGGAGGGTAGTTCGACGTGAAGCCCACTGACGCGCCTCCGATACAGAACTTGAACGCCAAATCGAAGGCGATGGCAACTCATCAGAGTTGGAGTTGGCAGGAAATAAGATGTTCGTCACTTCAGTGATATCCTGCATGATCATCTCCTCCGATCTAAGAGCGATAAGACGATTTTCATTGTAGTACAATTGCTTCATGTACTCACGCGCGTGCTGACCGGAGCCGAACAGCGCAAGCGACGTGTCGCGTGCGTCCAGGTACTTTCCCCATCGAATGCGCTCCTCCAGGCCTGTTGGGGTCAATTTACAGTTGCGCAAAGGGTGTGTGCAGCAGTATTGCGCCAGTTGACGCATGAAGAGTTGAACCTCACGTGGCGTGCGCGACTTGCTTCGAGCTGTCTGTGCAACGAGACGGTGAAGCACCTTGCGAGCCGCCTCGGTTGGGTGCATTACCCCTAGCGTATAGCCCTCACACCCAGCCACGTCCGAAGCGGACAAGGGGTGGGGCGGAGACAAGAGCGACACCACCGCATGGTTCGAAGTTGTGGTCGGGGAGAAGGAAACCACAGGTGCAGCATCACTCGTGCTAGCACTGGTCGCGGGTTCAGAAAGAGTATCGAGACCCCGCACATGATAGAACTTCCCGTCTTTATACTGCTGCACCACATCTTGCACGAGCCGGTTGTACGCGTCATAGAGGTCGTGCCGTGTCCGCTGGCTGAGTCGCGGAAGGAGGCTTCCAACATCTTGGATATGCTGAAAAGAGATTGAAAAGGGCTCTCCATGCGATCCCCTGTCGTGAATCCAACACATCGTGCCATCCGTAGCGGAAGGAACAAAAGACGCATCTAGGCGCTCGATGGGCTCCACACCCTCTGGGTGGGTACGTTCCCCTTGTGTTTGGGCTGAAAGGTGCTCTTTGTGCTCCGCTGCCAGCAACAGTACGTCTACCGCACTTTTATCATCACGTACTGTGCTATACAGTAGGCTGAGGATATGATACAGTACCGCAGCATTGTACCGACGCGATCCGAGTCCACGCTCATGGAACACCACATACTTCAAAATTTCATTAATCCAAGATTGCAACCCAATCGTTCTGGTGTTGACTACACCCACCTCCACAGGTTTCTCAAAGTCCACGCCCGCTTTTTCGAGTGAGTCCCGCATCACCTCCACCAGGCGGCACACCATGGACAACGGGGACACGCACTCGTGGCGTTCCCGCAGCCGCTCGAAGACCATTTGAGGGCTCACACTGCCAGTGGGAAAGTCACTAAAGATGCTGTAGGCCCTGCAGACACGTGGAAATGTCTCAACACGCGTCAGTAGGGTGGTGCAGATGGAGACGTAGTCCCAGTCCGACAGGCGCACCCCGAGCGCCCGCACCCACACGGCGATGAGGAGCGCCGCGATGGGGCTTGCGGCGTCGTTGGCGACGGACACGTGGTGCAGCAGCGCGGTGAGGACGGGGCAGGAACGAGAAGGGGGACAGCCGTCCTCGGGGCCAAGCGGGGCACCCGCCCTGTACGCGCTCACAGTCGCGGCCTCCGAGCCGGAAACTTCCTCGAACACCAAGGTCCCAAACGCCTCTTGCGCGAGTCGCACAATCGTCAGAATGCGATCCAGCGAGTCGGCAGGGGCAAGGCAGTGGATGCAATCAATCGCTCGCGCGTACGCCTCCAGCGTCATCGCCCCACGCTGGACCATCAGATCCATCAACTGCATCACACTATCCTTATCTTGTCCATAATTGAAGATCCGAAAGAGGGCGTTGTAGTGAAAACTGCAGATATCCATACCCAGACGTTCGCGTATATACTGCAGTGTTGCACTCAGATCTTCTGCATTATAACATGACAAAAATGTGCCGACAATACCATTAATCTCATACATCGGAAGATTCGACACTGACGGGGAAGAGGAAAGAGCATTGAGCTCAAGGTTATTTTCGTCGTCTGGGGAGTAACTATGCAAGGCGTCTACAGGGGGTATCGAGTCCACACCACCATCACCTGCCGCCCTCCTGGAAAGCGTCAGTGAAGATGTCTGGAATGGAGGGCATAAGCCATTTCTATCAGTGTTGTCGTTTTGAATTTTGTAAAGTTCATCCAGCCGTCCCTTAGCCCTTCTATAGACCTCCTCACGGTAATACGGCTGCCACATGTCAGAAAAAACACGCTGATTCAAAACATAGCACCCAGCTAGATAATAGGTTCTTTTAAACATCACTTTTCAATAGATGAGTTCCTTCCTTTCCAGTAAAATATTCGCCTTTCAGGACCTTTAGGTTCGTGGCTATTTTCCTTGCAAAGGGTCTATTTTAAATTCAGTTTTGGTCGTCGCTTTTATTTCCTTTATTTTTTCCGTACTCAAGAAATCAAGATGAGCAACGCTATGATCTTAACGATAATGAAAATTAAGAGGACGAGAAAAAAACGTTGTCGTTTTATGCACCCATTTTAAAACATTTTACTATGGGAAAATAAGAAAAAACAGTATATCAAATGATAGTGTAGATGCAAGCTTTGAAGACAAAAGAAACAAAGAAACACATGCTATGTATTAATAAGGAGTAGATAAAGGAAACTAATCATATTGATACGTAGATAACAGCCATAATTTAGGAACCCCCCTCCCTCTCTCGAAGCAAACATTCTCGTCGCACACAAACGTCTTGGAAGTACTTTTCTTTCCCGCGATTGGCTTTCCGCTGCGACACCTTGACATCGGTTGAATATTAACTTAACTCAAAAGTAGTAGTACCCTCAAGTGCTGCAATAATTTTTTGTCGCGCCGTGGCAAAGTTCGTGTATGGTGGCAGCTTTAATGTCGAAAAACATGTCGATGCCGATGGTAGTCGATCCTTCATTGACTCCTGGAGTAATTGGAGATTAAATGGCGGAGAAAGAAAACGAAAGCCTAGGAGTGGCGATCGATTCATCGACGTCGCAAACTTTAGTAGTAGTCTCTGTTGCTCAGTTGTCAGTGACTCCACCACCTCCCAGAAAATTCGCACCGGGACGCTTTCCGCATCCTCCGGCTTCTGATACACTGTGTGAGCCTTCCAGTCTTCGATATCGATCTTGCCGGACTCATCGCCGGAGAACAGCTTCAGCAGCTCGTTGCTGTCGAAGAGTTGGAGCCAAACGGGCTTTACGATCGCTTCTAGGCCGGCCTGAAACGCCCGCGTCTGCTCAGACCCCTCACGATTTAACTTGAAATCCGCCACAAGATGCATGTAGTGCAGACAGTTGCTGGCCGTCACGCTTATATCGGCACCACCACTGATGAGTTCGACTTCCCGAGTGATGCCAAGCGCATTCACTGTGTACACAAAAGTCAAACCCATGGCCTCCATATCCTCCGGTCCAAGCTCAGCTAGCGATCTCAACTGGCGATAGAGTTGATTATCGAAACTTTTGAGATTATTAATCGAGTTCCGGCGGCCTAAGAGAGAGTTACGGAAATGAAGTGCAAACGGGACATCCTGCAGAATGCCGTCACAAAGCGACCGGCCTACCATCGCACCAAGGAAGCTAATTTTCTGCAAGTGGGCAGAATCACCTGTTGCTTCGTGACTGAAAGGGTTGGGATACACCATACCGCTGTCAGTCTGCCGAAAAAGCCCGTGCTCAACCGAAAAGCCCTCTATGCAGAGTGACACCATAAACTCGCGATACACGCCTCTCCCGTAGCCCTCCTCTAGCTCGTTATTATCCCTGGCAAAACGAACCATGTACATTTCTGGGCTGTCCGGGCAACTCCTAAAGCGGTCAAAGGCATCCGCAAAGACACACCCGCGGCGGACAACGAAATTCGATCCCATGATAGGGAATCGATCCAGCTGCTGACTAAGTAAAAGCACCGTCAGTAGCTCAGCCCGCTCGGGAAAGGAAAAAAGAAAAGGAGCGTGGAAGAGAAGGTACACAAAACGTTCCTCCATTCCCCATTCACAACTCTTCAGGAAAAGCAGATCATCCCCAGGAAGACGATGATGACAATTAGCCAGTATATTAGCAATACGTCCCTTTGTGGTGATTAAACTTATCTCATTTTCGTCCATGATATCTTCAGAATCGGCATCGTCTCCAAAAGGTTGTGTGAGCAAATAGTTATCAACCTTCTGTTCCAATGCGCGCTGAAGAGTTGCATGCCGCGCGGTAATATCCTCCCACATTTCGGCAGGCATACGCCTCAATATGCGCATCAACTCGCCAGTGGTCATACAGACCCATAAAGACGAACACGGCACGAATGTGGTAGCCTCGTCAACGATGTGTAACTTACTTAACAAATTGTATGCAAGGTGCGCCACAGCCTCACTGTTGGTAGAAGGCACCACGCCATGGAAGTGTGAACGGAAAACAATCTCCTTCAGCGCGAGGACCAATACCCAGCACTCATGTCGAGAAAGTACGACTTCAGAAGACAACTCTTCGACAAAGTTGGTCACATCGATATAATAGCAAAATAGAGTGAAAAAAAACACGGATATGGTCGGTGTTGGATCCCAAAACGCCAACAGTGGGACCTTGCATGGTGTACCCACCAACAAACTCTGTGGAGGGTTCGGCCAAAACGGCAAGCGAACATTCTTATTCGGTGCTGCAATATCCATGCAAAGCTTCTGAAGTAGACCCGCATTTTGTAAAACATATGATAGTCCTTCACAGTGTCGTTTATAAAGTTGCCAAAGCTGCCGAATTAAACTTGGGAAGCGCACGAGCCTTGCAAAGACAGCCGCCGTTTCCAATCGACGCCCAGGACTCGCTAAGGAAAAAGTGTAAAGCGGCCACGCATACACACTGCAGGCGATCTCAAGAGCACTCATATCGAATATCTGCTCTCGCGAGTTGTCAAGCATACTCGGTAGCTGTATCTCCGGTGGTAATGAACCCCTATTGGGCTCTTCCGAGCTCACTGCTAACTGTTCAAGCAGACAAAGGCCTCCAGTCGGGCTGAACAGGTAAGACACAAGGCTGCGATACCGTGCTTGTGCAACACGGTGAACTTCGACGCCCCCACCACCGCTCAGCGATGGCGCCATTCCACCTGTTCCGCTAGCACGTGAGTGGTGTAAGTCGAAAAGAATGGTTTGAACAAAAAGGTCTGTCTGACAGAGTTTTTCACATAGAATTCCAATGCACCAAAGCCAAATCTTCTGGGTTGGCATATACCAAGGAGTTGACGGCCATGAATTAATCTGACCACTGACACGTATCTCATTGGATTTTAGAAAGTAAGGCAATAGTCGCGTAAGACGACCAAGAATTCTCATACCTACCACCTGCCATATGTTTTTCGCGTTTGTGGACACCTCACGAGCCATTGAGAACTGGTGACCGAAATTAGGAAAAACTCCTGATACCAAGAATGTCTGTAACCGAGCAAATGCCGCGAAGACAATACCACGAACAAGTTCTCCACACATCATCGGACTTCCTACGATTAGCTCTCCAGGGTTTCGATCCTCTTCATCTTGTACGGTCTCCACTTCAGTTGACAGAAGCACCGCCAATGGATTGTCGGTGAGGGAGGGATACTCTTCCATGTTGTTCTCAGTGAGGCACGCCCAGCACGCATCCATCCACGCAGTTGAGGAAAGTGCTAAAACCCTCACAGGTCGTTGGTCTCGGAGTTTTAGCGAGGCCATCAGCAGCTCTAGCACGGTCCGCCTAGCATCAGGATACTCGGCTAAGCTTACCGCGCATGACAGAAGGCTGACCGACAAGACACATTCCATAGCCTCGGCACTACCCCCCGCCGCCACCACCATCGCTAGCTCGCGAAGTGTAGCTAAAGGGCCACCTTTTGCCCACCCACTACGCTTTGCATCCGCCTCTTCAACCCCATTTGGGATGCCATCAATCAAAATGGAAATCATGTGAGAGAGTAAACGCACTGGCACATACTGGATCGCGGAGAAGCAAGTACCAATGCCCTGAAGTGATAAATTGCGTATCACATCAGAGACAACCGCAGAGCATCGTTTCTCGACTAAACGCTGTGCACGCATCACGTTGAATCGACTCGTTAAGGGCAAAAAAGCCTCCCCGTCGCCGCCAACATCCGGGACGCGCTTCTCACCGGTCAGATCAACAGTACGCATTAGGAACTCGAGGAGTGTGATGGGAATAATTGTTCGGTGTTGTTGGATATAATGGAAGCACCAGCAGGCCCTCTCAAGCCTTTGAACGGACTCCACCTGTAGTGATGACGTGCCGGTGCACTCGGACAGGCTTCCTTCAGAGGACAGACACCGCTTCGAGTCGATCGCAATGGTACCATTCGTCTCTATAGACAAAATATTATCAACGGCAAGTCGGATGGCAGACTGGCACGCTTGCCAGACTCGCACCCTACGCTGGATTTTCAATGCACACTGATTATGCCTTTGCGTTTCCATTCGCGCCTGACGGCGCTTTTGCGCCTCCTCAAGCACCTGCTCGCGGGTGGGGCGATGGTCACTGGCGAGACGCATCTTATTCTCTCTGCTACGTCCATCGAAAAAAAATGATTTCATCACAAAAAGATGTTGAAACTAAGGCAAAATGTTATGTCTGGATAACTCTTCTTTTTCAAGAGTCGACCTCAAAGAAATAGCAATAATAATAATAACGCCAGAAAACGTGACTTCTGACCTGTGTGATACTGTGTTTGTTAAAAAGGAAGAGGCCCGCAATGGGTAGAACCTAAATAACAAGGAGAATCCCTGCGAGAATGTCAATGTAGGGTCTACACAGCCTACTGAATCGTCAGTTTTTTCGTGCTGATTGACTACTTTTGTTAATCATATATCTCAAGAAGAAAAAAAAGCTAAGATAGTAGATGGGGTTCGTGAATGCGCATATTAGTCCGTGGTAGTCCGAAAAAATAACAAAGTGAGAATCAGTTCTATCAAATGTTTCTTGACTTCTTCCTCCAAATAAAACAAATTTAACAAAATGGTCTAATTCGCAACGATAAAAAAGAACAGAAAAGGAAATAAAGCCATCTAAGCGAGGGGGCTTACATAAGATATAAACGTAATGAATAGAATGATATATGCACAAGACTTAATGTGTTGGTTCGAGACGTCGTCTCAGGCTATTAAATGCGCTACCTGTGCAACAGTCATGCTATCGTGCTTGGGCAAGCATCACATGCGCAGTGAACATACAACACGCAGAATGAGCGGAATCCTATACAGGGCGTAGCATTGAGAAGAGAGACACACTAATTTTCAGAACAATTCCCATCGGTGCTGAATTCGAAACGTGTTCTAGTGAAAAAAAACTATACTGAAGAAGTTTGATCCGCAACACCATCATCAAATCTGATGAATTTCAGGATTTAACGTGAACCATGCATCTCTAAGAAATGAATACAGGTCGAAAGGCTATATCACAGTCTGGCCATATTTAATCAGCCCAATATAATGATAATTAAGAAATAGCTAGATAAAAATGTTAATAAAGAGAAAAGGAAAAGTATAAATGTAAGACTATATTACGTTGCCTCAGCTGCCCCCTAAAATATCATACGAAGAGCGAGCCCTAATTAAACTTATACATTTAAAAAAATCAATGTAATCATTAAATAAATAAATATATATATAAAAATATATATATATTTATTCATATTTATATATTTATATTCACATATTCGTGTGATTTTATCTGATTGTATTCACTTATAGATGAAAACAGTAAACTTATATCAACAGACTTAAATGGAAAAAAAACTTTCTTCAATATTACTAATATATACCATGCAAATTCATCTATGGATTTTTACCAATGCCTTTATTTACCCATTTATGCAAATAACAGGTAAACGGAAACCCAAAATATGTAATACCAATGAATTTAACAACATTCAACGTGCAAGAATTTGTAAATTACGCTTCCATAAAATGATTGGTAAAATCAAAGCGGAAAAAAAAATCCTTCCTATTTCTTATCACACCAGATCTACTATCTCAAAAGGTAATGTCGGGCTTCTCAGGGTATGTGCATCCATGATGCTGAATCACTATACCTGCGGCATAATTACCTACTTCACAGCACCGCTCAATGTCAATCCCTGAGGCAAATGCCGCCAAGAACCCCCCGACAAAACTATCACCCGCGGCGTTGGTATCTACAATCTTGTGGGTTTCAATCGGCGGCACTGGAACAGAGCCAGTGCGGCTTGACATTGTGGCGAACACAGTGGGCTGATTTCCCTGCGTAAATACTACGAGACGATCATAATGGCCATCATATGGAAGCTCCACAGCAGCTCTTTGTGCGATTTCCGCAACGTCCTCTGTGTCCCAACCATTGACTTTAGCGAGTGACCTGGCCTCATCTTCATTCGAAAAAAGAATGTCCACATAGGGCAGAACTTTTTTCAGTTGATCAGTGAAGCACTGAACAATAAAGGGGGCGGAAAGATTCAACATGAAAATGCCATTTACCTCGCGAGAAGCTTTGGCAACCTTTAAGACATAGTTCACATCAATAGTGAGGGTAAAACCAGTCAAGTAAAAAAGCTTGCTGTCCTCAAGTGCTTTAGAAACCGCGTCACTTTCGATGTGTTCCGGAGAGAGATGATTGGCCGCGCCTAAATTAGCGACTAGGGAGCGCTCCATGCCAACAATGCACGCTGCGCAGATTCCAGTTGGAGCCTTCGTTGTGTAATCCAAGATCATGTTCAGGCCCTCCTTCTCGGCAGCCTCCTTCAAGATCGAACCATGTCTGTCCTCAGCGATGCAGCCGACGTATGTGACAAAGGAATTTCGGGGGGCCTGTGAAATCCACTGCGCCACACGCGCCGTGTTTAACCCGGACCCACCCGGCACATAGAAGACATTTTGTTTCCCCTCGAGTTCGTCATATAACCCAACATGTTCATCTGACATGAGCATCGATGTGTTTTCTGCAATTTTGTATTTCTGCAAAAAATCACGATCGACATGAGCACAAATGTCTAGCAGTGGGTTGCATTGAACGTAAAGCTTTCGTAGTGATCCCATGTCGTCTAGCAGCGTGTGAATGTGATAGAAATTCGTGTAGGAATGCCTATGGCTGTTGTTATGAGTTTAAGTGGAGTGGGAAAAGAAAAACACATATTAGAGACAACCCTCTTCTAATGTTTACACCATCATAATCAATCCGAAGTCAGTTTGATCCTTAATAGTAACGTGCTTAATGCTTTTAGAAAGCAACAACATTAATTCATACTTTATTACTACATTGGGTATGCACTGTCGAGCTATATATCCGTTGTTCATAAAGCGGGTATGCTCATAGTATGGCGTCGCAGATTCATCTATTCTACAATACAGTAGAAGCATCTGAGGGCAACTTGCAAAGTCCTGGTTTGACTGTCCTCAAATACGGTGTTGACTGTATCTTGGAAATGGACTACCTGCGCAACGGTGCTCATGGATCACTTACTGAACTCTACCGGCACAGTTATAGTATATTAAGTCACGCACACGAGGAATCTTGTTCCTCATCACAGTCATGGAGATGCCAAACCCCATACCCGAGCCTTTCCTTGAAAATTAAATACATAATCCAACCATCATCTTTCTAGTCCAGCTTTTAAGAAAATGACATCAGGTGTTTTTTTAGCAAAGCTCTCCAGACAATATAATATCCCATTAAGGTTGTATCAAAAGGAATCATGTAAAAAAAAAAAGGCGAGGACCTGCGATCTAGCGTACGACAGAAGCAGATGTGTCGTTTTGTACTATCCTTGAGCTGGCATCATGACCCATATCTGATTGAGGCAATCAACTTCTCGATTTGACTCTGAGTATAGATCATAAGCTCTAGCCTAAAAATCCTCCTCTAGAGACGAGACTTAAATTCCTCCAGAGTTCGACGCAACCCCTCGTCAAGCTTCACCTTTGGTTCCCATCCCAGTACCCTCTTAGCTTTGCTGTTATCAGGCCGACGCTGCTTGGGGTCATCAACAGCAGCTGGAAGATAAGTAAGCTTCGACCTGGTACCCGGTACAAGCGCAATGATCTTTTCACCTATCTCTTTTACCGTGTACTCCTCGGTATTCCCCAAGTTCACAGGGCCAATCTCAGTAGGGTGATTCACAAGTCGACAGAAGCCCTCAATCAAGTCGTCAATGTACTGGAAAGAACGAGTATACGTGCCAGTACCATAAATAGTGATGTCATCACCACAAAGCGCTTGAAGTATAAAATTTGATACAATTCGGCCATCCTGAAAACACATACGTGGTCCGTAAGTGTTGAATATACGCGCAACGCGAATCTTGGCACCATGGCGGCGATGAAAATCGAAGCACAGGGACTCTGCACAGCGCTTACCTTCATCATAACAACTACGGGGACCGGTACAGCTCACATGGCCCCAATATTCCTCTGGTTGTGGGTGCACCTCCGGATCACCGTACACCTCCGATGTGGAAGCAATCAATATTGGGCAGTCCATCTGGACGGCAAGCTGCAGAACATGGTAAGTTCCATTGACACAGGTGAGAGTGGTGTTAATGGGATCATTCTGGTAGTGAGCCGGGGAGGCGGGGGATGCGAGGTGGAAAATAAGCGAGAAACGCTTTCCAGGAGGTCGTAGCGTGATGTCATTGGGCAAGGGGTTCTTTACATCATGGTTCACAAAGTGGAAGTATGGGTTCTGAAGGTGATGCTTGAAGTTGGCATCTCGGCCGCTGCAGAGATTGTCTAGGACAGTGACGTCGTACTTATCTGCTATGCAGCGGTCGACCAAATAGCTCCCAATGAAACCTGCACCACCCGTTATTAGTACACACTTTGGCATGTCCCCCATGAACTCAATATACACGAATTAAAAGTTCCTTTTCTGATGATCAATGCTTGACAGAAATAATAAACTGATATCTATATGGAATAGATCAAAACCAGGTCCACTTGCGACATCAGAGGAGGGAAGAAAGGGATAGAGAAGCACAACATCTAGGAAGAGAGACGAAAAAATATAAAAAACTCAGCAAACTTGACTTCACCATTTAACCATGAAAGGGAAAGGGACCCGTTAACAAAGCTAACAAAACTACCGATTTCACTCGACACTACATACCCTATTGTTAATGGGGTTGAATATGGAAGAAATCGGATTGAGTTGTGAAGCGATTTCTTTCCTTTTTCATACCTTACCGGAGGACTGCAGTTCCTCAATCAGATCATCCAACGGCGCAGAGGAAGCTGCTGTGTGATGAGGGTGGAACGCCTTCACCACAGGTTGCACGGCTAAACCACTGAGACTACCCGCTGCCGTGGAGGCGACCCCATTATCAGAGAAATTAGAGGACGTTGTATTGGTTGTCTGAGCGGTTAATCGGACAAGGGTATTGATGGAGTCCTTATCAACGTCGTCCTCGAGGTCCTCAATGCTTTTCGACGTAAAGCGGCGCCGCAGTTTGGGCCAGTGTTGAAAAGCACGAAGATCATTGTAGCGAAGTGGTTCTCGGACGCCGTGTATGACACCGGGCAATGTGCGCACGCGCAGCACGACGTCGGCGGGCTCGCTCACGCAGAACGACGTCCAACCCAGGCCACAAATGTAGATATCCGCCTTGGGACGACGCCGGTGCCTGTTATAGCACTCAAATAAATAGTCCCTGCTCTCAGAAAGCCCCAAAGTGCCGCCGGAGCTGCTGGCGAGCTGTTCGAGTGAGCCGGGTGGTTCCAAGGCCTTCCCGAGCTGCTCCTCCCAGAATGTGTCAGCCCTATCAGTGTTCACGATAGCATGGCGGGCCTTTTGTGAAGTATACACCATAAAGAGCAGCCCCCGTACAGGGCCCTTCATCACACTCACGGCTGCCAGTCCCGCAAGAAAAAGGGTATGCCCTGGTAAAATAATGAAGCACTGCGGGTTGCGGAACTTACGAATCAACGTCCGACGCATTTGCAATAGAGTTAAAGGTGAGTGCTGATGCCAGTGTGGAAGCAAACCGGGAGTATCATAGAAAAACGTCTGCTCCGCCTGTGGCGTGTTTGCCTCGTCACCCCTCTTCGCCCTAGGTTTGGTAAGAGAAATTCGGACTGCATTTATGGAAACGGTTGTTCCAGGAAGAGACGAGACTGTGAGCAGCTTGGAGGCCTTCTTATCGTGACGGGCCGGAATATCAAGCATTTCAGCTTGGTTGACATTCGGTGGAGTGTACCAGCGCCAGAAGACGGCTTCCTTTCCGGTACGGGAGTCTACCTTTGTGTAGTACACCTTCCGGCTTTCTGGATGAGGAGGTTGCGGCACGTAGAGCTTGTGCGCGATGGCGTTAAGGAGAGACGACTTCCCAGAATTGGCAGCACCGATAAAATACGTTGGCAGAGGCTTATGTGGCCGTCTGAGGTTCAAATTGGAAGCTTCTTCAATCGTTGTGATAAGTTTATCGACATTCCAGCCGCGTTTAGCTGAGACAGGAACTACATCGCGCACTAGGTGACTCGGAAGACCGAACTGCGTTGCAATGTCAAGCACCCAGCGTTGTACGTAGCGCTCTGACACTAAGCAAGACGCAACGGCACGGTCCTTCCCGCTGTACTTAAAGCTACGGTTTCGAACACAATCCATCTTGTTAGCCGCGATTATAACGGGATTGTTCATGCTGATCAGCCCAGGCAAATCGTAAATCATCGAGCCGGGAAAGTCTGTAATGTCGACCACAAGCACCATGACACAGCGCTGCTCTTTTAGCGCCCGAAGCTTCTCTGTGAAATCTGGCGCGGACCAGACCTTTCGACGCCCTTTCACTCCCAAATTCTCCAACGCATGGCAACGGTTGCATACAAACGGCGTTGCTCGATCACGATAAAAGGCATTGAACTCCTCCTGCGTCATGAAGTCAAGCCACTCCTCCCCGACATGGCGGCCGTGTTTCTCCCAATGCGCCTGGAGCTCCGCTATGCGGGCAGCATATTCATGGCGAGTCTGAACCTTGCGTTGTCGCTCGAGAACATACCGCTCAACTTCACCTTTATGGACATAGCCAAAAACGGATTCGTTTTCACCTTGCAGCAGCGCCCCACATCCCGGGCAACAATCACGACCCAGGACCGGGATATGAAACGTGGACGGCATGTCCATCACGATCGAGGTTTTGTTTGTGAACACCTGCTCCATCTCAGAGCTTGCGTCCTGATCTAGCACGTGAGCCCCCTCCCACTCAAGAAACTTTCGCTCCATCTTGTTTCCGGCTAGCTCCAGTTGATGCTCAATGGCAAACTTGTCCTTTTCGTATGCGTCGAGCAAAACACCGTACTTCATTTTCTCTGATAGATTCACCATCTTCTTCCGAAGTAATTGGGGAGCTGGATCCATGTTAGGATCCTTGAGCTGCTTCTCCAAGTCTTCATCAGCCTCTATGTCCACAAGCTCCTCAGACCAACCCATAATTTTGTGAAAGAGTTTGTTAATGTGGCGTGGCAGGACAATGGAGTCCATCAACTCTTTCTTGCTTCGCTTAAAGGGTTGAAGGTGAATAGGTACTGGGCCTTCGGGAAACGTATGCACCCCCTTCACCTCGAAATTTAAGGCATTACCAAAGGCAAGACGAGAAACAGTTGATTCCCCGTCAACCTCAGCAGCGGATGTCCGAGTAGGGGACACCGAATCCGCAAGCAACGCGTGCGTCCTCCCGGAGTCCTCTCCATATGGCAACACTGCAGCAGGATTATGTGAGGAATTTAAGGCCACCAACTCAGATGACGAAGCGGGTGTCACGCAATTTCCCTCCGGAGATGGAATTTGCTTGCGTGATTCAGCCTTGCTCCACGTGTCAAAAAGTTCCTGTGCCCCTATACGAAGACCCTCTGCCGCCGCCTTCGGGGAAAGATGCGGGCTACGCACCCCTAGAGGGGCGGACGAGGTGAGATTTCCAAGCACAATTTGACCATCTTCTGTGTGTACGTCCGTGCTGGAATCCACTTCTATGCACCCCGCACTTGTGGCACTACGATCCCTCCATGGCTTGGAGGCCCGAGGGCTATTTAACTTCTTGAAAAAGGTCTTTTTGCTGTATCCCAATGGAGGCACCTTTTTTTTGAGGTACCAAAGACTTCTGAACAACATGTTTTACAACTTTTACTGTGCTATAGTATGCTTAGCCTGTATCATTGTACCCAACGGCTAAGCAAGGAGGGGAACAAAGACAAAAGAAATTCAATTATCCTGAGGATTTGTGAAGCGGAAAAGGGCAAGAACAAAACAAAAACAAAAAAAAGCAATCATGGGTAAATCGGTGCACAGGTTCTTATCAAATTCCTCATCCAATCCCTCCACTCACGTTGAAATCCTGACGTTAATTTATTTCAACTGAACACATAGCGAAGGCTAGAACAACCGAAGGGTTATGGGAAGACTTTGAATAGGCGCTAATACATTATCCTTTGATTGTTACCGTTGTTGTGTCCACATCCCTTTCAAGGACTTTAAGATACCCCTTCCTTTTTATGATGTCTTTTCTTAAAGAGAGAGAAAGCTATCACCTTTGTTGTGACTGGCCACTTGCCACTTGAATCAAATGAACTGCTACACGGTAGTCCTCAACCGCTCGTCGAAGCTCACCCTCCTCCTTCGACATCACTTCCGACGTGCGCTGCTTCTCATTGGAGATTCGATGTTCTTCAGCCTCACACTGCTTAATGATCTCATCGTTGACCTTAATGAGCTTGTCAACAGGTGTACGCATGAAAGCACGCCCTATGCCACGGTACACAGTGTGCCCCGCTTTGAGCTTGGCTAGCTCGCCAACAGTAATTTCCGAGCGACGTTTATCTCTTTTCAAGGATATCTGACGGGTGGCCATCGTCTTTACAGCATTCTGAAGAGTCTCAACTCGTTGTTGGTGTTCCACAACAAGTTTCTCCTTCTCCATTAGATCTGCCTGTGCCGCTGCTGGAATGTTATTCGACATGGTTGGATACGGGAAAATAATAGTTAGAATAAGGACACTTTATTAAGTCAAAAGAATAAGAAGCACCAGAAGATTTAAAAAATAAAAAACAACAATACGAATTCATTTCAATAGACCAAAGTAAGTCTTTAGGATCACACAAGCACGGGAAATATAAGCGCGAGTTGGAGTGTTTCCTGCACAGTACTACCCCACATTTATATTTAATGCACTTTTACACGATCTTACAAACTTTCGCAACGCTAAGGATCCTCTACCCTGTAATGGAGAAAGTACAAACACAATTGCATCTCTCATCAGATCATTTTCCCATTTATCTCAAACCGTACATTTTCACTGGTAATAAATCTTGAGGCCATTCTTTTTGAAAACACTCTTTCACGACCCGCACACCAGCCTTCGCAAACAACTGTTTGTAATGAAAATCGGATCGGGTCAAACTGTTGTCCTGATTGTCCACAAGAAAAGCACTTTTAGTAAGGCAATTTTCCTTGAAGAAAATGTAACCGCTTGAAGTGAGTGCATGTTTGCAGCTACGAAAGAACTTGATGAAATCATCATCAGTTAGATATATTGCAGTCCACTGGATAACAATCAAATCATACGTATGTGGTGGCAAAGAAGCTTTTTCCATTGAAGATAAAATAAAATCTCCCACAGGCATACCATCTAGTTCTTTCTTGGCCTGCTCTAACATATGTTCAACTGGCTCCAACAGATCTGTTACCTCGTAAAGCCTACAAAGGAGATGCTTGGCAATGCGACCGATACCGGCCCCGCAGTCAATCGCACGTTTTGTACCGTGGTGAGGAAGCGCTGCAATAAAGTCGCCTGACTCCTTAATATCAACGTCGTGAACGCCTGGAAGACCGCCCAGAACCCCATCCAATGTTGCAGGGGTCTTTTTCCAGTATTCCAATGACTTACCATACCAGCCCTCACTAGAGTCATAAAGATCCCCTTGAAGTACATGCTGCCACATAGTCTCTGTTGAGGCGTAGCGGTGCCCATCGGTATCAGTGCCACTGATGGACACAGAATGCGTCCTCTGTGGGGCATCAATTTTCTGCCCCCTATGTATATCATTTGACATTTTACAACACGTACTTTTCAGATATTGATTTCTTGTGTGTTTCATAAAGTGTACAATGAAATTAAGACTCCATATGTGTACATATGAAATCAAAAAGAAAAGTAACAATGGTAAAGGATAACATCTCGTGAAGTGCGAAGAGTGACAAGGAAGATGTGCGCTTCAAACAAAGTATTTAAAAAGTGTGTAGCGCTGAGGATAATAAGATACGTCACAGATTAATATTTCATGCCTAACGATGTACAAAATGCAACCAAACTAGCATGTTATATGAAAGCATATACAAAATCATAGCAAGAGTATTTCCATCTTAAAGCACTATTTAAAAAAAAAACGCAACACTATCATTGACATCAGCACGCAGAACTCTTAAGCTTTTAAAGCTTTTTGTATATCCTTTAAAATGTGGTTCCCACCAAATGCACGGAAGTTTAAAGGGTTGCTGGTCCCACTAGTAAGGGTCCTGCCCTTTGAGTCTGTCCCATAATAGGAGACCACAACCCGCACCTTCGCAGAGCTTGCAACCTCAGAGGGATCTTTATAACACCTCGCACAGTTCCTAAAGCCTTTATCTCCAATACAAATTTGCTCGCTATCCAATAAACATTCCTCGCCGTTCTTTGTGTTCCCGCAGGTAGATACGAACCCAGTCTTCAGTGGTCGCTTGACAGAAGAAGTTTCGGCCATGAACACAACGTTTTCCTTCTGGGTGCCAAGTCTAGACATCTTAGACTCCTCGACCAAGTTGCTTTCGTTACCGTACACTGCTGCAAATGAAAAGTTGTCTGGAGAAGAATGAGTGTCCGCCACATTATAGAACCCCATAGTTTGTGCGTGGAGATCAGCTGTCAGGATGCTTTTTGCATCCCCTTCGTAGTTAAATAGCCCCTTGTGTAAGCCCACATCCAGCATCAAGGTCGTGACAACTGCGACGCTGCCGCTGCCACCACACTGGGTTAAATTCTTCTCTACGATAAGCAGGGAGGAATCGGAAGACCCATTTTCGGGGTTCGCGACGCTGTTGGAGTTCCCGAAGCCGTAAACAGACAGATATTTTTTGTTCTGATCCTTTGAGAATGAAAACTTCACGACTCCATTCGTCGTGTTCTTCTGGAGTGTAGCCAAAGAAGCGGCGTCGCTTAAGCTGAAGAGTTGCAGCTTGTCAATCTGAGGGGCAAAGCCGTAGACCGCAGTTTTGACCACGCTTGTTTTACTATCATTAACGTAGTTTTCCTCGGCCAAGTCCACTATAAACCTCAGATCCAGTCGATTGAGATGTTTGCAAGCTGGACCGGTAGAAGACCATGGTCGACACGGTTCCTCATTCGTGTTGACATCACCAAGGGCACGGGAATCATAAGAAACACATATAACATATAGAAAGATGGTGATATAAAAATTCACAGAAAGTGATCCGTGGTACATTTTTGTCGATTTACTATTTGAGTTTTCTTGATTTATACATGTGATTAGGGGAAAAAAGGAAACGAATTCAGCATAAACAATTTAACTCTACACTAGAGGTGCTTAACAACTATAGTTTCTTTTCGGGTTTCAAGGGAGTGTTTCTATATATATTGGTCTATTGGACTCCTTTCTATAGTGCCATTGGCATGTGGATTCATCCATTGCACGACGTTTTACTATGTCAAAAAAATCATGAGCAATAAACTCAATTGACCATAGCTATACAGATAAATAAATAGATAAAATATTCAGAATAGAATACAGAAGCACCACGTATAATTTTAATGATGAACATATTATACCCATATCCATTCGCACATACAAGGTGAAGAATAAAGGTGGCAGGTTGGGGGTAACTATTCGCATCAGGCTTTTATTTTCGAATGGGGGGCAAAGTCTCAGGAAAGACTCTATGGATGAAACAATAACTAGTTGAATCAAAGCGCCCATACCTTAATTAAAATAAAATGGAACGAAAGGAAGATAAAACAGATCAGATAGGCCCGTATATTTTATACCTCCCTGCACTGAACAATCTGGCGTCAAGAATCACCAGTGCCTGAAACAACCCCACAAACCCCTGCAATACAATTCACTCCTTCGACAATTCGAAGGGGCTAAGTCCACATTTTCAAGATAAGTTTATCCCATGCCTTGACAACTGGAGAGTATGTTGAAGGAAAAAATCCACGCAATTCCCAACCCGGTCTGTTTCCGCTGTATCTAAGTACGCTAGATGCTCATGCTGAGGACATCAGTCGCTGCATTTCGAAATAAAATCCATCCACATTAGTGTTGAATAGGAAAGCTGTAACTAAAGAAAGAAAGCGCACTGCGACCTGTGAGTATAGATGATACAGAGCAAAGTGAAAGAGAAAAAAGAAACGAACTATATGCACCCTTCATTAGCATAGAATATCGTTTCAAAATGAAAGGAAGGGATAGTAAACACTCCTATCAATATGCAATTAAGTGATTAATGGTTTAAACTTTCTTACACGCCAAAATCTGGGGATTCCTATCCCTACAACCTGATACTATTTTTGTACACACAGACACGTTTCTGGGGGAGAAAAAGTATTAGAAGGAAAAAACGAGTTCAACGCATAACCAACGTCCTTTTCGCCTCTGGCAGCTTAAAAGGGTGTGAGTCAATGAACGAAATTAGTGAATAACGAGTTACCCACATACAGACAATAGCAAACAGTGTGGCTAGCGCTAGTACACAACGGTCTGCTTCCCAAGATGTAGCCGTGCTCAGTGAGTCTTGTGCGACTTTTTCTACAGCAACTTTAAAGTGAAGTGGTTTGCTATTGTCCAGAGGCAACGACAAAACCGAATCTGCCGTATTTAATCGATAAAGAGGATCAAAAAGCTCAACAAGCACTTGAACTTCCTTGACGGTGTCTGGCAGCCCTATAAAACTGAAGGTATTGGTGACGTCAAGGCTTGCGGTTCGTACAATGATCCCTGCGCGGCCATCCACCACACGGACGGTAACATAAGGAATGATTTCAGGATCCGCCTCCACCCATCCTGCGATTGATCGCCTACGTTCCGTATGTGCAGAGACTGAAGTGGATAGCAGTACTAGCAAAAGAATGACATGGGGCCAACGAGACATGCTAGCACTTTACTGGAATAATATAGGGGTTATTTTTCTTCTTCAGAACTAAATTAAGATGATAATAAGGTGAAAAAGAAATAAGAAAATGGTCAGCCAACCGAAGCTGCCGACACTGGTGACGAGCTTCGAAACCGAACTTCTGCTTGTATTATGCTTTTCGCCTTTACTATGGTAACGTTGTTGATTCGTTTACCAACCACACTAGTATTTTTGTTTCACGTCTTCTTTATTGGCGTTTATAAAACGAAGAAAAAAACTGCTAAAGCGCAACATACCCACTCCATTCCAATAGTCCACATCCCAAAGGAAACACTTTGTTTTTGATTAAATGGAAGTAGTGTCGAGAAATAATAAAAACCACTCAGTGAGGGATTCAACTAGAAACTACTAGTGTAATATGGAAATGATTAAACTCAGACCCATAATTCAGACATCATACCTATGATAACTGACACCATCGGCGTAGTCATAAAATGAGTCGCTATATCGTACAGAGAATGGAAATAATCATTTGATAGAATAGTTCCATAATATAATAATTCTTTATTGCAGGCAAACCGTGAACATTTATATATGGGCACAGCTTGGCTATAAACACCTATGGTAACATGACAACATACTTTGCCATTACCCGTTTATATTAAATACGGTTCAACCGCAATGAAAACCATTTATTAAATAATAGTACCAGTTCTATATCAATCCTATATATATATATATATATATATATATACGTCTT